GGGAGCAGAAAGGCCCAGCCTCCCCTGCTCTTAGAGGCTGGCTCAATGGGGCGAGGGTTCAGGGCTCCCCCTCTGCAGAAGATCGACCCCAAAGGCATCCCCAATTCTCCATCCCTCCCAGAACCATCTGTGTGCCCTTCGCATCTGAGCCTGTCTCGTGACTTGCTTTGGCCAATAAAAGGTGACAGGAGTGACACTGTACCAGTGCTGAGCTCAGGCCCCCTCTGCCTGTTCTCTCTGGGCTGGAGCAACAGCATGAGAGCAAGCCCGGGCTGGCCTGCTGGAAGGTGCGAGGACAAAGGGGGCCTGAGCCATCCCCGTTGAGACCTCCCCAGAACAGCCAGCCCCCGGCCAAGTCCCTAGCTGAGCCCAGATGCAGGAGGGCAAGCCCAGAGAAGCAGCAGTGCCTGGCTGGCCCCCTAGACCTTTCAGACACAACCAAATGCTGTTGTTTTAAGTCACTGGCTAGAAAGGAATTGTCACACAGCAGTAGCTAACTGATACACACTTTTCCAAGGGCCCTGGCCACCAGCCACCCAATCTCATGCAGTTAGCACATGCTGAGCACCCTCACCGCCCGCCCCCCAGATGCTGAGGACCAGACCAGAGTGTGTGGGCAGTACACAGCCCTACTATGCGCCAGCCCAGTGCTAGAACCTAGCGATGGAGACACATGTGTGAGGCCCACCTCTGCCTCCCAGGAGCCAGCAGCACACAGAGGGCGGCTTTATTAGTCCCAGCTCCCAGGTGGTCACAGGACCCGGCTGGATCAGACCTTTCATTCTCTAAGTTTTCCTCTCCGTGGACACCTGTGTGGAAACCTTACACTTCCTGGGTAACCACATGCTAGTGGGTCAGAGATGCTGTGATTTTTTTCAGTCTCTGTTCAGCGGGAACTGCGTCTCAGAGCTCCGGCCCCACCGGGCATCTGCCCTCCTTCCCTGAGCTGAGTCCCCCGGAGGGCTTGTGTCTGAGCGTGCAATTTCCCCACTCTCCCGTGAGCACTTCTGTGCTCCTCCAGGTGGTGTTAGGGCCCACGATCTCCCTGTTTGCAGTGACATGGGTGGCCCAGATAATCTAGCCTGCTCTCCCTGGGAAGAGAAATCTGCATAGCAACAGTGCTCACGGTCAGCTGCTGCACCGTGATTGGACACACCAGCCAACGTCCATTCTGATTGGCTGGCACCCTTGTGTCCAGAGAGCATCTGTCAACACCTGCCAAGACCTGTTGGGTGCACTCATGGGGTCAGAGGGCAGAAGTCAGAGCCAGTTCTGCCCACGAAGACCCACTTCACCCTAAACTGAAAACCTGAAGGGCTACGCTCTTCGGGTGGGAATGGATCAGAGTTGCACCTGCCCCCTGATCCTGCTGGGAACCCCAGGGAGGCGCACCAGAGTGACCTCCTGCAGGAAGAAGTAACAGCAAAAGGACCACAGTTCCTCAAAGTCCCAGAGCCCACTCCAGACCCAGGGCCACGTCAGCGGGGCGGAGCTCCCAGGTTCAAGCCGTGAGCGTGCGCTGGGGTTGGTCCCCACTGAGCTCCTCCCTAGGAGAGCTCCCCTTCATCCTAGGCCTCCAGGTGGAAAGCCAGTGGGGAGCGCACGGTTAGCAGCCAACAACAGGTGGAAATGAGGTGCCATGGGCAGGCACCGAGACAGACCTGGATCCTGGGACTGTCACACGTTGTGGCAGATCCTGGCTGGCTGGCACCAGTCACTCTCCCCCGACCATGCTCGGCCTCCCCACGCCCCCCAGAGTGCGGCGCTGTTGGGCATGGCCACGGGACTGAAGCCCGGGCCAGGGAACATGCGTAGTGACATGTGCCTTCCGCACCCTGCCCACGAAGCCGCTCCTGTTGGATCCTTCGTGCTCTCCTCTCATTTTTGCACCCCTGGCATGGACCCAAACCCTCAGGAGCCTTAGGACCAGAACAGAGGGGCCCGGGTCCCCTTTCAGCGCCGGGAGGAAAGCTGCCCTGCAGAGGAACACTCTGTGAGCAGTGAGGGAAGTCGGTATCCCAGCCATGACCTCTTAAGTGCCTGATAAGCAGCTGGTGTCACCGACTAGTGTAGACACAGCCCACACAGTAACAGCCTGTTGTGTTCAAAGACACACAAAGCAAGCTCAAAAGTACCAGCACACGGCAGAAGCTATACGGAGTGATGACAAATTCTCAAAAAGCACAGAGAGAATGGAACCCAGAGAAATCAAACACGACTGCAGATGTTTACTGGCGTTCTAGAAGCGAGACAATACGGAGCAGGGACATCTAAAAGGACGGGTGAGAATTTGCCAGAGCTGATGGAAAAATATCCAGACTCAAGAATCCCAGTGAATCCCAAGAATTCGACAACAACAACAACCCCCCCCCCCCGGCACCGACACAATAGTAAAGTTGCAGAAACCCAAAGACAAGAAGACAAATGGTAAGAGCAGCCGCAGAGAAAAGACGGGTTACCTTCAGGAACTGCAGTGAGGCGGGCAGTGAGCTCTTGGCCAGGGCAGCGGGAGTCGGGGACAGTGGAGCGTGCTCCGTGGACCCCCACGTGCTGGAAGAAGCAGCCGCCAGCTCGGAGCCTACACTTGGTGTCAGCGTACCCCCAGAAGGATGAGGACAGGATGACATCTTAGGAACAGCCCAAACAGGGATGGGCCTCGCTCGGCTCTCCCGCGGTGCTGGCTATATGTGCGGGCTCCCAGGCCCGCCGCCGACCGCCTGCTGAAGCTGACCCTGACAGAGGGCCAGAGATCTAGCCACGGCCCGTGACTCACATAGTCTCCCGTGAGTGATTCTCCAGAAGAATAAGGTAGGGCTCTGCAAGGGATCCTGCTGGACAGGCTGATGGGCACCTGGCCCAAAGGATCTTGTGTGCAGCCTGCTGGCAACGGGGAGCCATGGCAGGTTCTAGGCAGGGAAGGGAAAATGACCAGGTTTAGACAGGTCACTCTGGCAGCCAGGGAGAACAGACTGGAGGGAGGGAAGCCTGGGGGGGAAGGAGACCCATGACAAGGCGGCCTCCGGAACCCACAAGAGAGGCAGCGGACGCAGGAAAGTGTTACGATGGGTGCGGTGTCCTTGCCCCGTCCCAGGGCAGCTGACCCGTGGGCAGTGGGCGTGCAGGTCCAGGGCTCATAGAGAAGTCTGGGCAGGAGCGTGAGGGTGGTGTGTGAAGCCAGGGGAAGGAGGTGGGCAGAGCAGGAGAGCAGGCCAATCCACACGAGCTCGGGGGCACAGCAGTTAAAGACGGAGTAAAGCGAGGAGCTAACCCGTATCAACCGCCGTCTTTGAGCCACAGAGCCACACACCACATCCCCCCGTCGGCTCTCCACTGCCCGGTGCGGCCCACACGGAACTCAGCGGAGGCAGGGGACCCGCCCAGGACACAGCAGCCCGTGAGTGGCGGGGCCAGGACGTGACCGCGGGTGCGGCTGGCGGGCCGAATCCACCGGGCCCGCGCCGGGACAGCCCCAGCAGCCTCGCACAGCAGCTTCCCAGAGCAGGTCCCCCCCCACACACCTCTCTCCCTCCAGAAGTCTCTGTGACGGAGGCAGAGGCTGTGGGGCCTTCACCTCTGCGGGCAGGACGGGGCAGGACAGGGTTTATCAGACGCTTTTTCCGCATCTGCTTTTTCTTCTTTAGCCGGTGGACGGGATGGCTGACCCAGCCTTGCCCACCTGGGATGAGTCCCACTGGGTGGCAGTGTCGGGCTTTTTCTACCTTGTCGGATTCGTCCTGCCGGTGCGTCGACGTTGCCTACCATCTCTGTTCGTGGCATCCTGGTCTCCAGCGCTTTCCTGGCGCATCTTTGATTCGGGAGTCAGGGTGACGCCTCACAGAACGAGCGCTCACTGCCTCGAGTGTCGGCTGGAGCTCACCCGCACACCCATCTGGGCCCCGTGCTCTGTTTCAGAAAGTTACGGATCATTGACCCCATTTCCTTAACAGAAACAGGCCTATTGAGATCCTCTATTTCTTCCTGTGTGAGTTGTGGCCAGATTGTGTCTTTCAAGGGATTGGCCCATCTCATCTAGGTCAAGTCTGTGGGCCCGAACCTGCTTGCAGGACCCCTTCATTATTCCTGGAGGTTTTCAGTGTCTGCGAGGCCTGCAGTGAGCTCCCCACTTTCCCTTCGGGGGCTCCTAATTTGTACCCTCTTCCATAGTCAGCTTATCAACCTTACTCATCTCGTCACAGAATCAGCTTTTGGCTTAGACGATTTTCTCCACTCATTTCCTGTTTTCAATTTCACTGATCTCGAGTCCAGTTTTTACTATTCTTTCCTTTCTGCCTTAATCTGTTCTTTTTCTAGTTATCGAAGGTAGAGCCTGTTGGTTTGAGACGCCCCTCATCTCTGCACTCAATGCTGTGCCCTCCCTCAGAGCACCACGTAATCCCACGAACTCCCCGAAGTTGTATTTTCACTTTTATTTAAAAATGTTTCTAAATTTCTCGAGATTTCTTCTTTGACCATATCAGCTGCTTCAGAACTCCAGGACACTTACCTGTGGGAGGCAAAGGGGACAATCTCCGTTTCACAGAGGAGAAAACACGTTCCAAGAGGGAGCAACGTGCCCAGGGTCCCACGGCCCGGGGACGGCAGAGCTGGCCCGGGTGTAGCCACACGGCCGCCTGGGCACTGACCCGGGCCCCGACTCCCCCCGACGTTATCACCAGCAGCTCTCCCCGTCTGGTCAGCTGAGACAGCAGGCTTTCAGTCAGTACGAGCGTATGGTGATCCTGGGGGTTCAGAGGCCGGAGACCCGGCCTTGGTCCGACCCGGGGTCACTATCACCAGGGGCTACAATCCAGGGCCAGACACTCTCCAGCCCAAGCTCCTGTCTCTCTGACGTCTGGGCATCCCTGGGGCACAGTGGGTCGAGACCCCCCCAACACATACCCGCGAAGCACGTGGCTGTCCAGCAGAGAAATCCCTCCTCAGATGCTTCTCCAAAGCCCCACTGGGCCCGGGACCTACCCCCGCGGCAGTCAGAACACAGGTTAACCCAGCGGCACTGCCAAACGCCATTTATTTTGAGTAAAAAATAAGCCACTTCTTTCTTCTTACAACAAGACGGACTCGTCAACCTGGTTGGTCCCACCTGGTCCCGGTCTCCCCAAAAGGTCCCTCGTGCTGCCCGGCTGGCCAGAGCTCTCAGGACAACAGGGTCCCAAGGCAGGGACGTGGCACAGGGGAGGGGGAGCCCGGGCATGTCGCCAGTGGGCCGCCTCAGTAGCAGTCGGCCTCATTCCCCCCCAGGACGCCCACCGTGGCCAGCATGTCCTGCAGGAGCGACTGAGGGCTCTTCTCCACATGGTCGCTGCTCTCGGCCAGAGCCCCCTGAAGGCCCTCCAGGTCCAGAGACCTCAGCACGGCCAGCACGACCTCGGGCTCCAGGTCCCCCAGGGGCTGGGCCTGATCGCCCGCCTGCCACCTCTGCAGGGCGGCCTCCACGGAGGCCACATGGGGGCTGCTCCGGGACTCCTGCAGGCTGCCGGAGGAAGCCGTCTTGGCCCTCAGGAAGAGGAGAAGATCACAGGACTTCTGAGCCACGGGTCGGTCACAGTCAAACAAGGCACGAAAGGCGAACTCAAAGAGCCGCACTCGGCAGAGCGGCTGCAGGGCCTGGGCCAGCGGGCCGATGGGGGCCGCCACGGCCGGGGTCACAGCACAGGGACAGTGGGAGCGGGGCTGGCCCAGCGTCTGCTCCAGGAACACCAGCGCCAGCTCCAGGCCCTGAGCCCGGACCTCCCAGTCCAGATCCTGGCTGGCTACCTGGAGCACCCCAGCCACAAACTGTTCCGTGTCCCCTGCCACGTCAGCGTGGCTGTCCCTGAGCCACTGGGTGAAGACCTGCATGACGGCCCTCCGCGGGAATCCCTCTGAGTCTGTGGAGAGGATGTGCAGCAGCTCCGCGAGCAGGCTCTTCTGGAGGACAGAGAGGCAGTGGGAGGGGAGGGGGGCAGGCAGGGCCCCCGCGGCCGGGCACAGAACCCCCGCCCCAAAGAGAATCCCCTGCCATGCAGGTCCGGGGCAAAACCTGCTCTTCCCCTCAGCCCTCCATCTGCTCGTGGATCAAACAGGGGTGACCACATCCAAATGACAGGGCTGCTTGGAAGAAGAGCCGGGGATTCAGGAAACATCCCTGACAGAACCCTGGCCCCAGACTGCCTGACCCTGGGTGGCCAACCCACTAGGCCCTGGGCATCAAGACAGCCGCCAGGTGTGGGCTACCTGGGGCCCCACCGGCTCCTACCTGCTGGCCCCCTGGGTGCTCGGGGCCGGCGGGGGGGACACACAACCCCTGGCTGGAGAGCTGCCCCATGGCAGTTACTGCGCTGGCACGGACGTAACTCTCAGGATCTCGTAGGAGCTGCTCGGTGAGCTTGGGTACCTCCGAGGCGAGGAGCGCGTGTCTGAAGCCGGCCTGCCCTGGGGGTCCAAGCGGCCACAACCGGCTGTGACCAAGGCCAGAGCCCGCAGCCTCCTCCCTCGCTTCTCCAAGGGCAGGCTCGGTGATCTGCTTCCCAAAGCCACCGAGAGACAACCGGTGTGTCGAGGCCAGGCCCCCTCCCGCCCAGCACTCACCTCCCCAGTGTCTGGTCATCTGGGTCAGAAACTCGAGGCCGGAGTCCCTCACCTCCCAGCAGGGGCTGCACAGACGCTTCTGCAGCACAGGGAGCAGGTCTGGGGCAGGAGGGGCAGCTCAGAGGGGCCCAGGCCAGGCCCGCCCTGCTCCCAACTGCTCACCCCTGGGACTCCCTCGGTTTAGCTGGGAAGGGCCCGGATTACCTCTCAGGAACAGCAGGGCATGGGGATCCAGATCCCAGCAGCCAGGGGTCTTGGGTGAGCTCAGGAGCCACCTGAATGTGGCCTGGAAGGCCTTCTTCAGAACCTGGAGCAGGCAAAGCAAGGCTGCAGGGCCAGGAGCAGTGAGGGGGGAGCTGGCCTGCCTGCCCCTGTCCGCCACCCGGTGCTCCTGTCCCTGCTCTGTGACACAAGATGGGGCCCCGGGGGCAGGGAGAAGGCAGCCCTGGGTTTCGTTTTTGGGAGGCAGAAGCACCAGGCAGTGGCAGAGCTGACATCCCGGGTCACGAGACAGGAGGAGGAGACAGCTCCCGTCAGGAACCCCACCACTGGACAGACTCTCCAGGCCCTCTGTCCTCAAAGGCGCAGGCAGCCACCAGGCCTGCCGTCCCAACCTCTAACTGCCTGCTCGACGGCAGGGGGCGTTCACCCCGCACCCACCAGAGCCCAGCCACCATGGGGCCATGACAAGGAGCGTGTTTGCAGAGAATGCTGACGAAGAGTTTGGATCCCAAGTGCAGGGCCCGTCTGGCTCCAGTCCCCACTCTCACAGAGAATTCCCTGCTCTCCATGGCTCAGCTCCCCTGGTGCTCAGTCCTCACCACCACTAGCTCCCGGGTCAAACCCCGAGCCGCCGCCTGCCCCTCAATTTAGGAAGAGAGTCTGGGGGCACCTGGGTGGCTCAGTTGGCTAAGCGTCCGACTCTTGGTTTCAGCTCAGGCCATGATCTCAGGGTCGTGAGATGGAACCCCCCGCGTCAGGCTCTGCGCTCAGCACAGAGTCTGCTTGAAATTCTCTCCCTCTCCCTCTGCCCTCTCCCTGCTCTCTACCTACACCAATCTAAAAAAAAAAAGCAGCACCTCCGGTCCCACGGAAGGCCCTGTTCTAGAGGCCTGAAGGGGTCCTCCCCACACATTTCCCCCTCCACCCCTCTCTCCCCCTGCACCCCGTGCCTGTACCGTGGGGCTGGAGTCTGGGCTCCTGAGATATTCCAGAAGGACAGCGAACACCTGCGTCACCAGCTCTCGGGGGCCTGAGACAGACATGGAGGAAGCACCCAACCTTCCCCTCCAAGAGCCTCCCCAGCACAAGAGCACGTCAGTCCGAGGAAAGCAGGGGACAGGACCCACGGCCAGCCGAATCCCACCCGCGCCCCCAGAGAGGACGCACAGAGGATGGCGGCCCCGGCGCAGCAGGCAAGCGGGGCCCGCGGGGGCGCTCTGCCTTACCTGTCCCCTCCGACAGCGTCCCCAGGAAATCGAGGGCCGCCCGCTGGACCCGCACGCACCCCAGCAGGAGTGCACAGAGGTGGCGCCCCGCATCAGAGGTGGGCCTTGCTGAGCCCCCGCACAGCTGCAGGAGGGTCACCGCGGCCCCCAGCAGGGGCGCCTGAGGCCAGGGGCAGGGGCGCTGGGGCTGGGAGAGAGGGGGCAGTCAGTGCAAGCCCCCAGTCCCCCTGCCGCTGCAGACTCGGGCCCGGGCCGCACTCACCAGGGGCAGCAGCAGCTCCAGGTGGGCCAGGGTCCGGCACAGGAGCCCCACACAGGCCGCCTTAGAGGGGAGGAGCATGTCCGCCGTCATGGAGTCACCCACGATACCGTCCAGCACGCCTGCGGGCCAAGCCAGAGGCCGCGCCCAATCAGCGGGCACCTCCCACATGCTGCTGCAGGCCTCGCTGCCGGCCACCCACCCTGCAGCTGCCACCGCATGCTGGACCAGGACCGGAGGCTGGTGACGCGCCCACGGTGACATGGGCTGGCCAGAACTGGGCTCTCTGAACCTGCCTACGGGGCTCCTGAGCCATGGAGCCCAGCTCTCCCCACAGCCTGTTCCTGGGCAAGTCCCGCTGCTCAGGACACTGGTCCCTATGCTCAACACGGGGCTACTAGGCACACGTGGGTCCCCTTCGCTAATCCTCGGCACACCGCGAGGCTGAAGCAAGATCAGTCACAGCAGGGGAGGCCAACCCCCCCATCACCCTGGTCACAGAATCTAGACGCATCCAGGGGGACAGCCGGTGTGCCTATTCTGGGTCGGGAACCACCATGTGGTGCAGGCCCACGTAACCACCCAGCTACTCGGGCCACCTGGATGACGCCCACCAGGGGTGATGCTGCCCTGTTCATCCCACGGTAGGGACGCAAGATGAGGAGCAGTCAGGCCTGTGACAACAGCCCCTACCCAGGCCCCTGCACTCTCAGCAGGGGTGGCGAGCTGGGTACCCTGCTGCCCACTGACTTGCCCCAACACCAAGGACACGCCCCGGACCCCAGTGGCCTGCCCTCCTGCACCTGCCCACCCTTAGGGAAGCAGCATACCAGAGGGTCCGGGGTCCTGAGCCGTGGCTTTAAGGACACAGGCCAGAGGCTGGAGGAGGACAGCAAAGGCCTGGGCCCTCAGTGCCTGTGGACTAAGCACAGAGGACACAGTGAGTGCCGCTTCCCGACCCTGGGCTGAGCCGGCTGCCCCGCTAACATCCCCAGCAAGTCTGGGGCAAAGAGGCCAGTGCTGGTGATCCAGACACCCTCTTGAGAGACAGCTTCCTTGCAAGCACTGTGACCAGCACTCAGGCCACCAGCACGCAGGCTGCCAGCACGCAGGCTGCCAGCAGGGGACTCCACGGAAGCTGCTAGAAAGCACCTCCCCAGGCCCCAGGAACAGCCCCTCGAAGGATGGGCCACACCTGCTCCAATGGACGGTGCCTACTGAGGGCCAGGGGGATGGGAGGCCCACTTCCTGGGAGCGTTCCTGGGGCTTCATCTCCAGCGTTCTTGCGTTCAGGGTCAGGTGGGAGGCTAAGCTAGCACAGAATTCTCCCTCCGGGCCGGCTGCCCGGCCCTCCCCTGTCAGACTACTACCTCTCCTTGAACATCTGGAGAGCCTGGAGCCCAGAGCCAGGCTTGCACTGTACCCCCAGCCCCCCTCTGGGGAGTGGGTCCTGTGGCGACGTTCACCCCCAACCTGGACCAACATGACCACGTCTCATCTGCCCAGAACCCTGGAAACACGCCCTCGTTCTTCCCATCTTTTTGGACCCATGCATCCTGCCCTCTCCCTGCGGGAAGCTGTCTGACGACTCCTGCCTACTAGGTCCCCCTCTATCATCCCGGGGCCCCTAGAATCCACCCCGGCGATGTGCTAAGGCCACTGGGGAGGGGGGCAGAGGGCAGCTGGGCAAGCGGATCCTGGGTACAAATCTAGCCCTGCTCTGAGCGAAGCAGCCCCGAGTCTGTTTTCTCTTTGGGGAGCCTACAAAGCTTTTGTTTGAAAACATTATTCTGTCTCTACAGCACGTGGATGCCACAGCCCCCGGCAAGGCCTTGGCAGTAACCAGACTATGGCCCAACTACATCCCTGATGGCCGCCTCTGACTCTTCTCTGGTTTCAGGAGCTCCCCAAAAGCTCCCTGACCATGAGGGCCATGCCCGAGACCTCTCTGCCTGTCCTCCCACGACATAAGCCCCAATCCTTACCAGTCCTGCAGTTTCAGGATCCCTAACGCCAACGGCCCTGCTTGGGTGGGGCTCAGATGGCTCAGAGTTTGAGCCAGAGTCTCCCATAGGCCGCAGCTGGAAGAACTCAGCCCAGGAGAGCTGCAGAGAAGCCCAGAAAGTAAATCAGTTCTCTGTCCTGCCCACCAAAGCTCTCGTAGTGCCCGACTGCCACAGCCCTGGACTGGGTATGTCCAGCTGAGACAGAGTCCTTCCTAGGCGTGCGGGCTTTCAGACCCCCTCTGGCATTCCCCTGCCCCTGGTTGGTGCCCTGCGGGAGCCCACAAGATGTGGCCCCAGATCTAACAGCTACCTTAAGACTTCCCAAGAGAAACAGCACCCCCAACTCCTGCCCACCCCCGGCTACACCCCAGAGGAACTGACCGGGCCACACTGAGGAGAAGATCCACCAGCGAGTGTGCAGCCGGGACGGGGTCTTTCTCCAGCAGACCGGCCACGAGCGGACTCAGCCGCACCCACAGAACTTGCGTCCAAGGGTCGTGGCAGTGCCCGAATGTGGTGGTCAGGACGTTTAGAGCCTGTGTGATCTGTGGGGTAGCTGTGGCGCGCAGGGACTCTTCGATGTGACCCACGATCTTCTGAGCACACGCTGGCCAATCACCAGCCTGCAGGCTGGGGGGCCCCCCGGCTGGGCCTGGCATAGACAAGCCCAGGATGTGCACCAGGAGCTGCCCGGCTGCCGAGGCCACAAACAGGCTGGAATCTTCCTGCAGGGAGAAGATGGTGTCAACGGCACCTGGGGTAGGGGACAGGGCAGGGAGAGAAGAAAACGGGCTTCAGCTGGGACAGAATCCGAGGGAGAGGGCAGAGATGCTAAAACCACTGAGCGGCTCTCATGGCCAGACTTCAGAGCCGGCACCACTAGGGCCCCCGCCTCCCCTCTGTTCAGAGGTCGGGCAGCCTGCATGGGAAAGCTCCAGGAGCAGCAGCGTTAGACCCTTGCAAGGAGGCTTTTGATCCTAATTAATTTCAAAGTCACCCCCACTGCTGGATCTGCCCTGTGAGCCAAGGACACTGCAGTGACCTCGAGGCCCCCCGCCCCGTTCCCCCATGTGCTCCTTACAGCAGCGTGACATTACAGCCACTTTCAGACACACAGACGCGGCTAGCAAGGTGCCATGATGTCCCGGGTCCCCACAGATGCGGCAGGGGCACTCACCACAGTCGGCCAGGAAGTGCAGGGCACTGGGGTGCTGCGCCAGGGAGCGCAGACCCTGGATCCAGCCGCTGCGCACGGTGGGGGAGGTCCAGGCGGCTCCTCCTAGGGGTCCCGCCTCCCCAAAGAGCTTGGGCAGCAACTCCCCCTGCTGGGAAGCAGAGAAGGAAGTGTGAGCTGGGCCCGGTCCCAGGAGATAGGTGGATCAGAGACGGTTTTTCTGTCGTTCAAGGGTTAAGGCAATTCTCTGGGACTTTCTCACTCGCTGCCAACACGAGGAGCCCACAGGCAGCTGCGCTTCTGGGAGGTGCCAGGTGACCACCAGTGCCGGCCCCAGAGGCCCCCAGCACGGCCACGTCTGCCTGCCAGGGGGCAGCTTTGGGAAAAGAACTGGGTTTTAAATAAAAGTTCTCAATCCTGTTAGTTGTTTACTTCAGAAATCCTCCCCCCAAAACAGTACCATGAGTTTTACCTCCAAAAGTCCACCTCTGACGAGGACATTGGGCTCCAGGACCCCGATGGTCTCCACAGCCTACTGAACTCCTGAGCTGGGGCTGTGGGGTCCACCAGGGCACCCACCCTCCTCCGGGTATCCCCTACTCTGGATGCCCCAGCAGACCTGTGTCCGGCCACCCTACTCCTCGCACCTGTTCGAACCCTTTACAACCCGGCCGCGACCCCCCCCCCCCACCCCAGCTGGCAGTGGCTAACTCCCCACTCAAGCTCCACCGGCTTAGGGACGCCCACGGTCCGATCGTGCCTTGTCCTACACTTCCTGCCAGGGTGTAAGATTCTCGTTCACTACTGGGTTTCAACAGTGTGTGGGAAACCCGATGCTGCCTCTTACCGAGGCTGCTGCTTGCTGGTGCGGCCATTCGCTCCGAGCCCATCTGCGCCACAGCAAGGGCAGTCAGAGCCTGTGTCGTGCCCAGGCCAGGCCACAGGGCATCCTGTTCGGCTACAGCCCGACCCTCAAGATGCAAGGGGCCCCTCCGATCATCTCAGACTCCAGGACCAGGGACAGCGAGACCTCGGACACAGACTCCGACTGCTCAGGATAGGAGTCTAACTCTACAGCGGCCACGGGCCCCTGAGGGGCGCCATGGCTGGCGGTTCACAGGGAAGGCCCCCTGTGGGAGCCTTTGTCACCGAAGGGGGACCCTCCCAAAGTGAAAGCCCCTCGCCAACGGGGCGGGTACAGAGGCTCAGCCCCTGCCTTGCTCAGTCCGTCTGCATGTCCCCTGCCTAGACACTGAGACTGCAGAGCAGCTGTGGCTGAGGAGGGGCCCGTGGGGCTGTGGGACCTCCCAGGAGTCTGTGCAGGGGCAGCCGGGAAGCGAACAGGAGGCCACCCAGCGCTGCGGGCCCCGGGGAGGGGACAGCAGTGGTGGGGGAGAGCAGCCTCTCTTTGCAGCGGGAGAGCCCATCCCTGGCCCGGGCCCCTCGGCCCTGCAGGCAGCCAGCGGCAGACTCCTGCAGGTCTAGTGTGGGCGCTGCCACTTCGGCGGGGCTCCTACATGAGGCCTCCCCTGTCTCCTCATCTGCGAAATGAAGCCCGCTGGTCTGCTGCCTGGCCACGGCCACCAGGATAAAATCAAAGTGATCCTGCAAACCTGAAGAGCTTTACAAACCGCAAAGTACCACGGGTAGCCGTGCATGAGTATGTGTATCCCAGGAGAACAGCAAGCACAAACTTAGGCCCCAAAACACACTTTGGCGTAGCGAGCTGCCAGAGAACATCCTGGAAAGTCGGTCCACAGCAAAGCTGTGCCGGGCTGCACCTCTGGGGCGTGTGCACTGCAGGACTGAGGGGCGCCCATGAACAGCATCCCGAAGCTGCTGAGAGGACACATGCCTCCCCACTACTGTCCTCTCTTCAAGCGACTGCATCACACCATGGCCTTCCCAGGGCCCTGCACACACTGGGTCCGAGAAAGTTGATGTGCCTTCCTGAGAGCTGGTGAGGCTCCGAGAGGTGCCAAGAGATGCCATTGCAGGGCCAGACATGCTCCCATTGGGCATCACCTAACCAACCCAGCTGTGCCCGTGCAGGGGTGTGCAAAGCTGTAAGACGCACGGCTCTGGGGGGCCTCTCCAAGCTCCATGCCTTAATACTACGGAGAAATTCTCGAGTCACTCATTCATTCATCCAACAGGACTGACTGGGATACCAACGGTCTTGCTTAACCGACACATACAACTCTCCTGTCACAGGGGGAAACCAAGGCTCAGAAGGCTGAGTCAACCCCAGCTCTGATTCCAAAAATCTGACCCTTTTACTCCAACATCATTCCTGGCCAGTTTTTCAAAGAAGGATCACACTCAGGAATAAAAAGCTGGTGGTACAAGTCACAACATGGGGCAGCGCACTTCAGAGACCGAGGGGCCATGGAGGCCGCCACTGTTTTGTGCACCTGCAGAGAAGTGAGCCATGTACTTCTCGGCAGGGCACTCAGGTAGGAGGACCCAGGCTCACCTGAAGATACTGGAAGCAATCTTCCTGGGCTGCCAGTACCCCCGTGAGGCGAAGTGAGAAGGCGAGGACTCTGGAACTCAGGTCCTGGGGTTTCAGCATGTGGCACAGCAGCTCCACCAGGCAGGGGTTCCCCTGTAACAACAGGAGACTGGACCCTGGGGGCAGGCCCAGCCAGGGAGGGGGTCACTGGGGCATAGTGATGCAGCTTGCCCTAAAGGACCGTTCTTTTTTGTTTTTAAAGATTTATTTATTTATTTGAGACAGAGACACAGCACATGCGTACGCATGCACGCATGGGTGGGGGAGGAGCAGAGGGAGAGAGAGAATGCCAAGCAGACTCCCCTCTGAGCATGGAGCCTAACTGCTTGATCCCATGACCCTGAGATCATGACCTGAACCAAAATAAAGAGTCGGACGCTTAACCAACTATACCACCCAGGGGCTCCCCCCTTTCAAGTTTTATTTGTTTAAGTCATCTCTACACTCAACATGGGGCTCGAACTCACAACCCTGAGATCAAGAGTCGCACACTCTTCCAACTGAGCCAGCCAGGCCTCCCCAAAGGACCATTCTTCTGGCAATTCCCAGATCTCTTTCTCTCCCACTGTTAAATTTAGGAATCTCACTGGAAGAAAATATTTGCAACAACCACAACAAAGGAGTCACGACCCGAACTCAATGGGAGGGCACAAACCGGCATCACCTCCACATCAGGTAAGGGACGGGACAGGAAACACAAGGGCCCAGCAAACCAGAACAGGCCTTCTGTCGCTGCTGACTACAACAAAAGAAATGCAAATTAAAGCAGGAGACCACTTAACCTCTCAAGTGGATGCTTTTTCTTACACCAAGAGTCCTACACGCAAGGAAGTAGAACGGAACAGCCATCCTTTTCCAGATGTGGTACCAGAGAGGTCTATACCCCGCAAAGCCACGGTTCAAAGGCACAGGTGGGCAGAGGGAAATGTGGGGCACAGGCTGGCAGTTTCCCGTTGAGAGGCCCTCGTGGACACAACCACCAATGAACGTGGTTCAGTGAGAAGGAAAAAGAACAGCATGAAGAAGAGAGAAGCATGAATCTGAGAAACCAAGAAACAAGTCGGTGAATCTAAAAAAGCACCAACTGTAAAAATTAAACAAGTTTTGATGGGTTTTAAAACAAGAGGGGCACCTCAGTGGCTCAGACAGTTAAGCGTCTGCCTTCGGCCCAGGTCATGATCTCCAGGTCCTGGGATCGAGCCCCATGTCGGGCTCCCGGCTCAGTGGGGAGTCTGCTTCTCCCTCTCCCTCTCTCCCTGCTTGTGCTCTCTCTCTGTATCTCTCTGTCTCAAATGAATAAATAAAAATCTGAAAAAAAAAAACAAACAAAAAACAGATACAATCAAAATTCTAGACAATAATAACATGAAAATTGTGCTGGGCTGGAGTTAAAGTGCTCTGAGATCCTCCTGTTGGTGGAACGGATAGAGAGTCTAGTTAACTTTTGACTTTTTTTTTTAACTTTGACTTTTAAAATCCAGTTTCTGTGAAGGTAACCACTAAGGAACATAAGTGGAATGCATAACTTCAAAACCAGAAAAGGAAAAAATTTTAGAAACAAAAGCTTTATCAATCCAATGGAGGGCAAAAGAGGAGGAAAAAGGAACAAAGACACGGCATGGAAAGTTCTGAAAAAAATACTAAAGAACATTGGTTCGAATAGAACAGTAAGCTTGACAAATGAAGCAGATCGTCTGTTCAAGAGTTGCTCATACTAAATTGAGAACAAGCCAGAACTGAGGAAGCAGGAAGCAGGATGGGGCAGAAGGGCTGGGAGCACAGCGGTGAGGGCGCAGCGCGCAGCTTCCCGCCTTCGAAGAGCGGCTGCAGCAAGAGGAACAGCCGACAAACCGGACTTGAAAGCAAAAAGCATCACCGGTGCTTTCGGAAGAAAGTCGCTGTGCAAAGGTGGAACGGTCTACGCCTACACGGACCTATCTAGCTTCGAGATTTGAAAATGAAAATACAAAATGGAACTTCAAGGAAAAACTGTTGAATCCACAATCCCAGGGTAGGGTCTTCCCATCTCAAAAACAATCCAGCAAACCAATGCGTAAGGACACCGTGGGCCTGCAGTGTGCAGAGCGCGGAGGCCGACGGAATACAGGCTGGCCGGGGGAGAGGCGAACTGCGGGCAGCACCCCGCTTCCTTTAAAGGGAGGACCGTGCTGCAAGATCACACTGCGGCGTGCTTGTACCCCCTGTGTGTGAACTGAAAACCCATCAGTTGCACACTTCGGGTCAATTCCCTGGTATGTAAATTATGTCTCAAAGAAACCGATCTAAAAGTAAGTTTTACAATTTGACTACAACCCAGGCCGCAAGTGAGGACTCTACAAATACCAGAAACGCAGCAAGTAAAAATTGCGCTCTGCCACAGTAAAAACCTGGACGGATACAAAGAAATCAAAATATACGTATTTTCTAAGTCTGAGAAAATAAGTTAAAGTCAATGATAATAAGACACGAAAACCCCACATTGTGATGCTAAAAGATACCCCTCTAAATCGCTTGTGCGTGAAGGAGAAAAAAATCACAATGAAGAGTGTGAAATATCTCAAAACAATGACAAAAGCACCTCCAAGTAAAACGAGCAGGACGCAGCCTCCAGAGAAGTGTGCAGCCTTACGTGTGTGTATTAGAGAAGAGAGACCGAGATGTTCAAGTCAAAGGAGAGGAAAAGAGCAGGATAAACCAAATGAACTAACAGCAGAAATTAATGACATGGGCTCTATCCTAAGGTCACTACCAGCCAAGAGATCGATTGTCTACGTGAAAAGAATTACATAGGAAGCCAACGTTATTTACACTAAGGAACATCAGAAACAAAGACATCTAATAATATGGGTGTGATTATATAAATTACAGTCCGTTCACACAGCATGGAGTCGATACAATCAACACATTCTACAGAGAAAACTCCCACCATGATGGTAACAGAGAAAAAGCAAGACACCATGTTATATCTATGGTGTGACTTCATTTTTATAAGACAAATGCAGCTCTGGGGCGCCTGAGTGGCTCAGTCGGTTAACCGTCTGACTCTTGATTTCAGCTCAGGTCATGATCTCAGGGTTGTGGGATCAAGCCCCTAGTGGGGCTCCACGCTCAGCGGGGAGTCTGCTCAGATTCTCTCTCTCTCTCTCTCTCTCCCTCTGCCCCTCCCCCCACTTGCACCAGTGTCCCCTCTCTCTCTCTCTCTCAATAAATAAAATTAAAAAGAAAAACGCAGCTTGGGCGCCTGGGTGGCTCAGTTGGTTAAGCGACTGCCTTCGGCTCAGGTCATGATCCTGGAGTCCTGGGATCGAGTCCCACATCGGGCTCCCTGCTCAGCAGGGAGTCTGCTTCTCCCTCTGACCTCTGACCCTCTTCCCTCTCGTGCTTTCTGTCCTTCTCTAAGAAATAAATAAAATCTTTAAAAAAAAAAAAAAACGCAGCTTTATGATGTGTTAGGAAAAAGGGCTGAGAAGAAATTAAAAAGTTGATGGTGGTTTAATTTTTTTCTTTACTCCTTCATGTTGTTCAAGGTTTATCTAAAGAACACGTATTAGTTTCATAATAACAAAAAGTGATTTCTTGAAACAAATAAACGCAACAGTAACAACAAAATAAGTTCCTCTGCAGCCATCTAGCCTGAACTGAACAAGAAGAGGCCTGAATCAGGGCTGGAAGCAGATAAGAACTTCAGGATCAAGCTGTCCCCTGCTCGTTCCCTCAGGCTTTAGCTTGATGTGTCCCTAACTAGCCAGAGGGACTCTCTAGGATGTGAAGGAAAGGAACCAGGGGGTCACCCCTTCCCCCTGCACAGGGGAGTCCCCCGCACCCTCTGGCCTCCAGGAGACAGTCAGCAGCAGCACCCTCCCCCTTACCAGCTTCAGTTATTGTTTTAAACCAGTCCAGCAGCTTCTCCAAACAGGTGTCATCTGCCATGGGCTGCCTGGGGTCTGCCAGAACGGCACAGAGCGCCGGGAGGAGTTGGGAGCACTCTGGGTCCATGGTGAGGCTGGAGATTCCTGCAAAGAAAACGTCAGGGCCAGGTCCCACCCACCCTAGCCACAAGCAGCCCCCGTGTCTGCTTGGGCCAGGCGCTGAAAGACCGCATGCCAGGATGGATGCAAAACCTCAGCCTGGGTGGTACTGGGAGCCGGTCAGGAGCAAGCAAGGCCCTGAGTTCGGGTCTCCCGGGCTGGAAAGGGGCCTTAGGAGCTCAGAGCCTGCCAACCTTGGACTCCGGTGGGAGGGGAGCAGCACGATGCTCACCCGGACAGCGCGTGGGCCAGTTAGGGGTGTGTGTGCGCGTTCTGGCGCCAGCCACGCGCATGGGGGCAAAGCGTCTCTCCCGGGGGTCAGTGCGTCCGCATCCTACACCCCTGCCGCTAGTAGCGCGGGGAGGGGGAGGCGCTCCATCCACTGTCAGTCCCTCCCGCGCCGGGACGTGCACCTGCGAGGCCTGCCGGGGAGGGGACCGGGAGCCCCTCGGTCATGCGGTCAGGGCGCGCTCCCTCGGGAGGCTGGGGCGGGCAGGGATTCTGTCGCAGTCGGGAGTGGGTCTGTCTGTCCGTCCCCGGTGAGGCTAGCTCCCTGAGGAGGGAGCCCTCGCTGAGGGAGCCGCCGCGGCCCCGGCCGGCCGACGGGCCCAGGGGAGGAGGCACGAGGCGGCGGCTGCAGTCCAGCCGGCCCCAGGCTGCCCCCGGATCCCTGGTCCTCCGTTCGGACTCCCCGGGCCCGCTGCCGCGGCCCAGATCCCTCCCGGTGCGCGCAGCTCACCTGCGGCGCGTCCCTCGGCCGCCGCAGGCCCCACCCCGGACCGCGCCACTTGCCGGGTCCGACGGGGACGCGCACAGGGACGGCGGCCGCGGGAAACCCTCAAAGTGCCCGGGAGGCCACTCCGGGAGCCCTGGGGGCCCACACGTAGGGGCGCTGAGACAGGCCGGCGCCCAACCGGTAGCACTGACCCATCACCCTCACACAGACGCCGGTGGTACGTGCCCGAGGACCCAGCGGGCATTGCGCCCAGAAGGCGGGCCTTCTCCGGAGGAAGGGGTGGGGCCAAGGCCGGAAAAGGCGTGGCTTCGAGAGCTCAGGGGACCAAGTGTGTGGGAGGGATGCACAACCGGGAAGGGGCATCCTCATCTTTAAGGTTAAGTCCCTGGTCCTTTGGCCTCAAAACTAGGTCCTCAGGGCCCGTCAGCTGTGTGCCAGAGTCCTCAAAGCCAGTGGATAAAAACAAGCCTCATCTTGGGGCGCCTGGGTAGGTAGCTCAGTGGTTAAGCCCCTGACTCTTGATCTCAGGGTTGTGAGTTCGAGTCCTGTGTTGGGCTCCAACAACAACAGCAACAAAACAAGCCTCATCTTCCCATAGCGTCAGTGTTTCAGCAAGTTTTTTGGGGAACCAGTAGGTACATATTAGAATATAGAAAGCTGAATTCTTAGGGGTACTAAGCTAAAAAAAGAACTTTAAGGGGCATCTGGGTGGCGCAGTCAATTAAACGTCTGCCTTTGGCTCAGGTCATGATCCCAGGGTCCTGGGATGGGGTCCTGCATTTGGCTCTCTGCTCAGTGGGGAGCCTCCTCCCTCTCCCTGTGCCTGCGCTCTGCCTACTTGTGTGCTCTCTCTCTCTGTCAAATGAATAAATAAAATCTTAAAAAAAAAAGAACTTTAAAAAACATTGACCTTGATGGGTGATCACTCCGGACACCCCGCCCCTTAGAACTATTTGGGTGAAAAGGTTTGAACTGCACAGTTCTCTTCCCTGAATTGTGATCCCTCATTGTAAAATGGGGATACTAATATTTGCATGGTTGAGCAGTTGTGGGGGAAAAATATCTTATAGTAGCACTGTGCTAAGTGCTTCACTTAATATAAGCCTGGGTGATTCACCACTTCGAGGAGGGTGGGTATTATTACCATCCCCTCAGATGAGCAAACTGAAGGGTAGAGAGGCTAACTCCTAAGGCCGTAGAGCTAGTGGGCTGGCATGGCCTGGATCTGAACCCAGGCAGTGTTGCTCCACAGCTGAATACTATACAGGTCTACCATTTCGTACCTGAAACTTTTGAAGACACCTGGTTCAGAAAATGTAATTGTTCACACTTTAGATAAGTTACATGGTACATATATGCTGTATGTGAGATTACAATCCCAGCAGGATCTGATGCCGCACACCATAAACCAATGCATTAAAACTTCCCTGGTGAGACTCATTAATATACCCTCCAAGTGGAATACAGAAGCATTGCACATAGCTTCAGCTCAGACTTTTGTTGGCAAATGAGTTGAGGTCAGAACAGGTTTGGCCAACAACAACAACAAAAAACACAAAGAGAAGAGCAGGGGCATTGTGGAGCCCCAGGAGTGGAGTAAGAGGTACAAGTGCAAAGGTAGTTTAGCTAGCAAAAGCTCTTGTCCGCCTTGTGGGCAATACCTCGAGGAAATAAATGAGAGTCCTTGAGATAATCAGCTCCGTTTCTCCTGCAACAGCCTCTGAACCACCTGTGGCTCACCCTCTTTGTTGTGCAGGTGAGGATGCAGAAGACAAGAGGGCCATGAACCTGTAGTAGGTGTTGGTGACAGAACTAAGAGCAGTAATAACCTGTCAGGCAATTCTGCCACACCACACTACAGTGGTGTGGGGATTCATTCATTCACCCCATCAAACGAAGTCTGTCACATTGCACTCGTCCTGGAACGGGCAACTAAGCACTTTACAGATATTGACTCATTTGAGCCTCACAACACTTTTCTCCACTTTGTATTTGAGGAAACAGTGGCGCAGAGAAGTTACACGACTCCTTGGACGCCAAATATATATTAATTGAGCACCTGCCTGAGCCAGACCCTTCCAAGGGATGGAGGTACGGCTGTGAACTAAACAAAGCCCCTGCCCCAGAGAGCTTACGTTCTAGACATGGAATGCTTTTGCGGATAATGTCACGTGGCTGGGGGAAAAAAAAAGAAACCAGGGTGAGGGGACAGAGTAGGTGCCCTTGGAGACCTGTATGAAGGGGCAAGAGCACATCCTACTTGCTAATAATAACTTAAATAAGCTTTGGAGTCCAGTGCCCCTAAAGATCTTCATGATGCACACTGAGTGCAGTGCAAACTCATTATTTTTTTGTTGTTCTGGGGCTACATCAGAACCCAAAAGCCTAAGTTATCCGGGAGGATAACTTTCTGAATGCCAAGTGTCCAGAACGAGCAGCCTGGGACATTGCACAAGCCCCTTGTCCCTTTCAGCGTTAACCTAACAAATACTAGCATCCTGCTCTGGTGACTAACGCACAGGCTTATCGAGGAGCCTCCACGAGAGAAGGTGGGGGACGGACTCCAGAACCGTTAAGCGCGACCCGCAACTTCCAGCATGGCCCGGCTCTCTCCGCCACCTCCCCGCGCTCTGCGGGTCGGCCCGCGGGTTTCTCAGCGCACGCGCACGGTCGGCCGGACTCGCCGGCGCCGGCCACATCCGGGGCTCCGCAGGCGGCGCGGTTACCATGGCAGCGGGGTCGCGGCTGGCGCGCGGGCTGGCGGGCCCGGAGGCTACGGGCGGCCGGCGCAGCAGCTCAGCCCGACAGCCGCGCCCGCAGCGCCGAGGAGCGGCCGGGCAGCGCCGCCGCCATGTCGCTGGGCACCGCGGAGCCGGCCTCGGAGACGGTAAGCGCGGGGGGCCTCCTCGTTCCCTCCAACTCTCCGGCTCTCGGGGCCGGGCGCGGACCGGAGGAAGGGGCGCACGGCCGGCGGCCGCCGGGTGACACCAACCATTATTGTTACCGCATAAGAGCGGCCCTCGGGCCCCCGCCCGCGTGCAGCCGGCCGGGCGTCCCCGCCCCCCACCCGGCCTCCAGCCGCCCCTCGACCCCGCCCGCCCTTGCACAGGCCGCCGTTTCCAGGAAGCCCTCCCGGACGCTGCGCCCTCGCCGCGCGGCGCCTGCGAGGCCCCGGCCTGTGCCGAGCCTGCGACCGCGATCCGCGGGGCGACGGAGCCCACTCTGTAAGTGCCAGCGCACCCGTGCCTCTGGGGCGGGGGGCAGCGGCCGGGGCGGCCGGCCCGAGCCATCCGGATGTGCGGGGGGTGAGGGTTGGGGAAGCCCCGGGCCCCCGGGCCCCGGGAACAGCGCCCTGCCCAGCGCCGGTTGGAAAAGGCTTCCCTGAGGAGGTGCCTCCAAGCTTCCTCCCTTGGGTGAGGGCGAGCGTGCTGTCAGCTCGTGCCTTTTCCGAGTATTTTTGGCGCCCCTGCTCTTCGCTGGAGGTGTCAACGTGGATTAATGAGCGGCATTCGGGGGCGGGGGGTGGAGAACGAGGCAGTAAACCGCATTAACATGGCCTGTGCAGAACGTGAAACAGGCCCATGTGGCCGCGATGGGTTGCAGAGGACTGCTTTAGGCTGCGTGCCTGGGCAGGTGCCCAAGACGCCCTGGATGTCCCTGACCGGAAGGAGGTCTGAGTGCAGAGGGGCCAGCAAGCACTAAGGTCCTGGGGTGGGAAGGTGGGATGTGTTCCAGGGCCTGAAAGAAAGCTTGCTGGGACCTCGTGGGGGAAGGTGGGAGCGGGCCTGACAGTGGACAGCCTCTCAGGCCATACAGGGAGTTTGGACTTTATTTCCCGGACCGTGAGAAGCTTTTGGAGGGTTCCAGACAGAGGGCATTTTGCTCACTTTGCTTCCTTCTCACGGAGAAGGCTGTGCTGGGCAGGGCTACACAGAGCTCAACCAGTGCAGAGCGTCCCTCAGGACACTAAGTCCTGCCTCACCTGGAAGGCTGGCCCACCTACCCGGGATTCACTCACTGCTCCTTCATCTTTAGAAAGTGACTTCTTAGGTCGTGATTGTGAGAATCGTGAGCACTAGAGAAAATGTAGAAAGTCAATTTACCCGTGATCTAACCACACGTGATCCAACAAGATCACGTTAATGTTTGGTGTATTTCCTTTCGATCTTTTCTCAATGCAGCTCTTCCCACACAGCGTTTAAAAAAATGTAAGATCATATTTAAATTGTTTTGTGACCTTTACCATTTAATTTGTTGTTAACATTTTCCCCACAGCCACACGTTTTCAAGAGCATGATTTAAAAAGTCGGAGCTGTGGCTACCCCTACTTTATCCGCTTCCCTGCTTTCCCTCTCTCGTTGGCACTTTTTCTCTACTAGGAACAGTGTGGCTGTAAACATTCTTACACACTTAGCATTTGTTAAGGCCTTTCCACGCGAGGCTCTGAGGACACAAAACCAGGTGAGCCCCAGTGCCTTGGCCTCAGGGAACTCCGTCGTGGAAGAACTGGTGTGAAGCTCTCTCAGCACTTAGGATGGTCCAGGCTAACGTGTGGCTTTCTGCTGAGCTTGGATCTGTTTGAAATTAGATAAGAACCTCTTGAGAGCAGGCACTGTGCAGTCTGTCCGTTCCCCCAAGTGGACTGCAGCTGCCTCCGGGCTGGCTGGTGAACTTCCCAGAGCTCTTACTCTGTGCCAGGGGGCTCACTGCGCAGTGGCTGTATCCATGGAGACTGAGTGGGGCTACGTGGCTGTATACAGAGCCACAGGGGTGACCTGGAGCCTGAGTGGAACCACCAGTGATTTAAGAGTCAACACTTGTGAAAGGGCTCAGAGATTCTAGAATAAGACAGTAAGAGCATTTATTAGGCATTCACTACGTGTAACGTTCTGTGTCACGTGCTTTACTACTCAGGTGGCCCCCTGGCCCCCCTCTAACCTCTTGTACGATCCCTGTGCCCTCCTGCCTCCCGACCCTCCTGCAGCCTCACAGCAGCACAGCTTGCACATATTTATGACGGCTGCCCTGAAGACTTTGTCTGCTAAGTCCATCATATGGGCCCCTTCAAAAGCTTCTGTTTCTGCTTTTTCCCCTTCTATCACTCACACTTTCCTGTTTCTCTCTGTGTCTCTTAGTTTCCTGCTGGAAGCTAGACTAAATGTTACAGCGTGTAACTAAATACATCTAGTAACTAAATGTTACTAGAATGTTACAGCAGCTCTGGGTATTGATTCCTCCTCCCCATGGGACTGATGCGGTTTGCTTGGTGGTTCATCTCTCTGCTGAGTGACTTGACTGACCCTGCAGTTGATCTCCCTACACTGTGCAGCCTCTGATTCCCTGCTCAGATTCTTTCTTGTGTGCATCTTCTAGCCTAACTACCTCAGGGTCACCCTTGGGTCAGCAGAGGCCACTTTCTGCTCAAAGGTTATAGGTAAGCCCCTTGGCCTGTCAGATCTTTGCCCTTCACCGCTGCGTGTATGTGTATGTGCGAGTTTGGTGTGTGTGCATGCACAATGCATCCGTGGCGTGAGTGCGTGTGTGCCTGCGTGTGTGCACGCGCGTGTGCATGTGGTGTGTGTGGTGCGTGCCTGCAGGTGTGCGCTCACGCTCGTGTGCATCTGTGGTGCGCGTGCATGTGTGGTGTGTGTGTGCATGCACGTGTGTCTGTGGTGTGTGGCCTGGAGGTTGCAGTCACACGGCAGGAGTTTACAGTTTTGCCCACCTGCAGCCAAGGACTAGCAGCTTGGGTCTCTCCTCTCCATCTCCCCTGAGAGGGCAGCTGAGCCGCGCACGTGGCCCCCCAGACTTCAGAGATGTGTGATTTTTACCTTTAAGCCTGGCTTCCTGGGAGCTGCTCTTGCATCGGAGTTTCTTGTTGAACCATTGTTTGGTTCAAGTTTGTGCCAAGGCCCCTAGCGCCCGTGAGCTTGTGCCCCTTGGTTGATCTAGGTCCGGTGTAGAGAATGTTTCCAAGTCCACCCTGAGCCTGCACCTGGTGGGTGCAGTCTGATGCTTGCAGGCAGCCTCCCTGAGCCTCGGACTTGACCGTGACCCCAGGAAGGCTCTCCTGGGCCTGTTACGGTTCCTCTTGCTCTGCTGGTTAGCTTTCTGCTGCGATGATCACAGAGCTGGGAGGGCTTTATAATTGCTCCCCACCACGTCACCGTGGTCTTCAACTTGGCACTGGAATCAGGGAGGTATGGGGATGCTCCACTACCCGCTACAAATAAAGCCAGTCCCCTCGGGCTCAACTGTTAGCCTGCCTCTTCCTCTGGGAAGGACCTCTGTGCCTCAGGGATGGACGTGTGTCTCTCCTGGAGTGACACCCCTACTCCAGGAGGGGGTGCTGGCCTTCTGGGCCTGACCTTCCCTGCGTGGAACCTCTGCCCTACAAGCAAACCACCGTTGGGGCGTCCGGGGCCCAGATTTCCTAGCCTGCTACATCTGAGGCAGAGCTTACACCCTACTTCTCAGAACCGCCCCCCACCATTCCCCACCATCCTGCCTGCACCCACCTAGGGCGGGTCTCTCTGAACTAGTTTCTGTGGGATGGAGTTTGGGGGGCGAGGGGTACCCCAGACTCCCACTATCCTTCCCCACATTTAGTAGATTTTCTTGAATGAATTGTTGTATGCCTCTATTGTTGCATGCTTTTAGGTCAATTTCCAGAAACCTCAAACAATTGTTTTGTAACTTTCTGTGTTCAATGGTTGTTGAAGAGACAGTTGCCTGAGCTCCTCACCCCACCATTCGGGAAGACGGCTCCCAGATAGTGCAGCCCTTCCCCACTGTCACCATGTACTGAGTCCCCATAGGCCCCCGCATCTCATATAGACACGCCATGTCTTCTCCCCCACTGTATGTAGACTTCCGGTGCTTTTAAAAATCTGGTAGAGGAACGGGTCCTCTGTGGTCCAGGAAGCTGAGGTGGAGAGGGTCCATGGCATGACCCACGTCACACAGCTGGCACGCAGGCCTGAGGCTGCTCCAGGCCTCCGCGGGACTCTCTGCCCGCCCGCCCACCCGCCTGGCCTGCCTGCAGCCCCTGGGTTCCCGCCTCACAACAGTCAGGGGCAGTGTAGCCCACCAGCCTGGGGCGGCACAGATCATGCTCAGGGAACTGGCCATCAGCGTGTTCGCTGTTTTTAATAGTCTGTGGTCTCTCTCCTGCCGACTAAGGGGCGGGTCTGTGGCGGCTCCGCAGTTCCAGATATGGCTGGCAGGGCGCAGGTGGTGACCCGTGGGGGCGGACTGGCTGGGGAGAAGGTGTGGTGGGCGAGCACACCTGTTGAAGAGGGAAGTCACTTGGTTTTATCCACCACACACATAACATCATTCCCTCGTTGAGCCTTCAGGTCATCACACAGTTTTCAGGGTTTTATTCAGTACAAGTAATAATGACGAGTGTCCACAAGAGAAACCTTTTGCTGCTCCTCTGTAGTTTCCAGCAGGTTCACACCGGCCGTTGGCAGGTGCGTCCTTTGCAATGCCAGGGCACCCGGACGCGGTTGCCACAGTCGCTCCTCTGGTCTTGCCTTCCCCTGCTTTCCCTTCCTAAATGTTGCACGTTGTATTTCATACACTTTGCTCAGGGAAAACTCTCTCTAATCGGCATGTGCTATTTACCCCTGAAAACGTCACCTGTTCAGGGACATTGAAAACCTAAGTCCGTGGCTGGTAAAAGATCCTGCTTATTGGAGCACACTTCCTTCCCCGGCCCCGTGTCACGCCGCACCCCTAGTCCAGACTCTGTGTTTCGGAGAGCTGGCACGGGATGCTGCCCCTGTTTCCAGCGGACCTTCAAGCTGCTAGCAGCATTGTTGATTAAGTGCTGATCCTCAGCCCTGCAGAGGATCTGTGTGCTTTTCAGAAGGCAGCAAAGTCCTGCTGGGAGGGCGCCTGGGTGGCTCAGTTGGTAAGGCGACTGCCTTCGGCTCAGGTCATGATCTGGAGTCCCAGGATCGAGTCCTGCATCGGGCTCCCTGCTCAGCAGGGAGTCTGCCTCTCCCTCTGACCCTCCCCCCTCTCATGTGTGCTCTCTCTCTCTCTCTCATTCTCTCTCTCAAATAAATAAATAAATAAAATCTTTAAAAAAAAAAAAAGTCCTGCTGGGATAGGAAGTGGGTTCCACCACAGCATGGACGGCTTGCTGAAGTACGCTGACCCCAGCAGCCCGGCACAGATCATCGGTTCACAGGAGGGGCGTGCGGTCCTCACTCCCAGCAGCAGCTTCGTAAATCAGCAACACAGCAGTCCGAAAGGATTTAAATTTTGTTCCTCCTTTCTCTTTTTTTAGGATTTAAACTCGAGTCGGTGAATTACATGGAAACACTCTTCTCTTGAGAAACGACATCCTAGTTCTGGAATTAGGTGTACCGATTTTATCCCCTCCCCGCAGGGCCAGGGCAGGAAGCTTTATGAGTCCAAATAACGCACGCATTAATGAGTGTGTTTTTTTAGAAATCACTTCAACTTGTTCTGATCGGGACCCACAGACCCCTCGGGCTTCGATGTGAAGGTGAATGAGAGCACACTTAAACCACGTGGAATACGAAGTCCTTTTAACCTGAACTGTTTCTTTAGCGACAGGGCCCAGCGATTCCGTGCAAATGGTGTCGCTAGGCGGACAGACGTGGAGCAGCCCTGCAGGCAGAGATTCCGCTGTGCCCCCCACCCCTCCGCTCTGCTGGGCTGAGCCGTCCGGCGCCGCCTGCTCACTTGGACTGGGTTTCTCGAGTCTCCGCCCCCGTAGTTGCGGCTCTTGCCACCTTGTGTGTGTAACCGTGGGGGGCCAGGCAGGTGCCCGAAAATTTCAGTGTTTGCATCTCTTCTTCCAGGGAGATGACGGTCTGTCTGCAATTACCTTTGACTCTGACTTTGAGACGGTGAGTGTGGGCGGGGGGCAGCCGCTCATCCCCGCCCTGGTGCCTCTGCCCTTGCTCATGTTACTGAAACACTTTGCACCAGGTCATTCCCCACAAATGTTGAGTTCAGAGCTGAATATAAACTCCACGTGCTACTCAGCACCTGAAGAGTTTGGAGCCCTTCATGGGTTGTAAACAACTGTGGTTATAATTTTAAGACTTGTGTCCAGGTGTTAGTCCTGAGTAGAGTATATTTGAGGCAGATGGTAAGCTCCTATCCTGGGTCTGGTTTTGGCTACAACCCCCCGGCCCCCCTGGCCCCCAGTCCCGACACGTGAGGGGAAGGAGGGGGCTCCGGGAGGAGATAGGAGACCCTTTGGCAGCCGCAGCCCTGGCACTGCATGGTGTCCTGGCCTGATGGCCTCCGCGGTCCCTGGGATGCAGGAGCTCGCTTGAAGGGTGAGTGGACAGCACAGTCCCCAGGCAAACCAGCCTCCAGCTTGGCCTCTCTGTGTTCACGTGGGAAGCTGTGCTGGGTAGAGAATGAAGCCTTCCAGCCACATGGTGAAAGACGAGCCCGGGGAGCATGTCTCCAGCAGGCAGAGTGATCGACGGACCTCAACACAGAGCCCTGAGGGCACGTGGCACCAGCAGATCCCCATTCCACCAACAGCTCTGTGCACTCAGGGGAGCCTCTCGGGCCCCTTGTCTGCCATGAGGGACCCCTGCAGCGTGAGGGATGCCCCCCTCAACACCACTGAGGAGAGGGGCCCAAGATGCTCCCTGAAGTAGGGATGCAGCCCGTCTGCTGGGTAAAATGCACAACATAGAACTCCTTGTTTCCACTGAAAGAGAAGTGAGGGGCATTCTCTGTCTAGTGGGAAGCAGTTGAGGAACACAGGCGTGGAAGACGTGTCACTTACCCGGGCATATAAGTAGTGGGTAGGAGAACTCACTGGCATCTGGGTTGTCCCCGGAGACGGAATTACGACAGGGTCATTCCTCTGCTGCACCTTCCCTCCGCAGGGGGATTTGCAGCCGCCTTAGTCACAAGGGTTTCTTCTTGCCAAATCCGCCGTCGTGGAAGGGCACAGCCTGGTGCTCCAGGTGCTGGCATGAGGACAGTGGGGTGGTCGAAGATACACCATTTGTGGGCTATCTTCAGTGTGTGCTTATGTAGTGTCGCCAGGGCTTCCAGGGACCTGGCTCAGCCAGGGCGTGGCACCGATCACCTTTCCTGCGGTCACCCCACTGTGCCACGGGCTTTTTCCTTGGCTCAGACTGCGCTCAGGTCTCTGCTGAGTTAATCTCCCTCTCCCTGCCCTTGCACCCGCTCCGAGCCATCCCGAACACACCCGTGCTTCCACCACTGGGGCCGCTGGGCTGCTCTGGAAGGCTCAGCGTGCTTTACCTCGTCTATCTTTCTTTCAGAAAGCAAAAAGGAAAAGTTTCCACAAACCTCCACCCACATCACCGAGTAAGTATGACCGGGCCCCTCATCTCTCAGATTTCTGCAGTTAAACACAGAAAATGGTTCTCAGAAGCTGTCCTTCCCTGGCGTCTTGGGAGAAAGATTACGAATGTCTTCCTCAAACACTTGGGGTCATTGAAATGCAACACTTCCACCGCTAGGCTCCGTTTTGTGTTAGGGTCTTGCGAGCTGGCGCTCTTGGGGTCCCCACCTTACCCCGTGGCCCCAGTGGTCCCCGTTTGAGGAGGCCCTCGAGGGGCTGAGGCTCCTGAGTCACTGTCCCTTGAGCCCCCGGCAGATGCCGTGTTTCTGGCCTCTTGTGCTCGTTCCCCTTTGGACCCGCTTGTGTCTTGGGAACGCTGCCGCGGCCAGAGGACCTCAATCCCCTCCTGAGTCCTCAGAGCTGCTGTCGGCACACTGAGCAGGTGCTGTGGTTTCCTGTGGACTCACCCTGGCTGCCTCCGCCAGGTGCTTCTGTGCTCCCTGTTCTCAGCAGGGGTGGCAGCTCTGTCCGGGAAACACCATCCTTGGCCATAGATAAGCAGGCGGCTGCCCTTCAGGCACGAGGCTGCAGGGGTGGGTCCTCTTCTGCCCCGGGCGGCTGAGCTGAGCTGAGCTGAGCTGAGCTGGGCGCCTTCTGAACAACAGATAGTTACTTCTCACAGTCCTCGAGGCTGGAAGTCCAAGACCCGACCAAGTCTTGGGTTCTGGTGACTGTGCTGCGGACAGCCACCGCTGGATGGTATCTCCCATGGGGGAGGGGATGAGGGAGCTCTGTGGGGTCCCTTTTATGGGGGCACTAATCCCATCATGAAGGCCCTCGCCCGTTATGGGCTAACCATCTCCTGCAGGCCTCACCCGCTCCTGCGATCACAGTGGGGGTTAGGTTTCAGCATAGGGCTTGGGGGGGGGGGGCACAAACGTTCAGTCTGTGGTGCATGGGGTCCGTTTAGACAGCCAGCCAGCCTCTCGTTCTCCGCCATTCTGACATTGCTCTAGAGTGTGGTGAGCCACATGTGAATTTTATGCTTAGGAATGTCTTTATGACAAAGTTTAAATCCTGGATTGGCTTCCTTTTGCTTGCCAAAAACCTGAGGCCATCCCTGACTTTATTACACTTGTACCTATGTTCCTTACATGCGTGTACATTTCAAACACACCGTGTCACGTGTATGACGCACTCAGAGAATACCAGCGGACTTTCATATTAGCCCAAGAAAAACATAATTAGAAGGATAATTCCTGCCAAGGAAAGAGTGTTTTCTATTACAAAGAAATATAAACGTTAGAGAGAAAGCACCTATCAGTTTGGATTTTTGATGTCCTTGCTCTCCTTCCATGGAGGAAACAGAATTGATGTGAAAGTGTGGTGTTTGTGTTTTAAACCTTCTAGTTTTAGAAGCATTTTGTGTTAAGTCCTTCGTGGCTACAAGGTGGCGAAGGTAAGGATCGCAGCGTCTTTCGTTATTCTTACCGGAAGTCAGCATTTCGAGTGTTTAAACCAGTAATAATCAAATCGTTTTTATCTTGATTTCTGTAAACATCTGAATTGTGTTTCGTGTAAGTTACAATGGTGAGAACCCCCAAATCACAACTTGAGGGGGCTGCCGAACCTCAGCGGCCCCGCATCTCCCCACGCTTCCTCCTGGCAGCCTGGCGGGGAGTGTCGTCTTGCACTGGCACTGATCATGGGGTGCCCTGCTCCCCACTGACCTGCATGTCCTGTCTCCCGCGCTCTCGTGCTTCTCTGCCTGGGCTGGCATTGCCCCTCACTCTGGCTGGCCAGGTCTCAGCTCCGAGGCCCCCTTCCCTCACGGCTTTTGGAGCATGTGTTGAGGGGTTGCGCTTCTGTCTGGATTCCTGGGCCATGCCAGCAGTGACTGCGTGTCCTGTTCACGTCACAAGTGTGGCTCTGTAATGCCTAAGCCAGATCCACGTGGGTTTGTAGCTTCCAGAGCGCGGGGGGCTGGGTGCTTGCCGCCCTGCTCACCAACGTGCTTCCCAGCCCGTTTCCTTCTGCCTTTCCTGCTTTGGTCTGTGTGCGTGCACGTTTCCTGAGGAATTCTTACGATTCATTGATGAATCACATACATTTAGGAGGGAAATGTTACTTGGGGAGCTGTTTCCCTGGTTGCGAATTTACTTTAAAGTGAGCCCTTAAATGGACAAAGTTTGGAAGGCCTTCAGCTGTCCGGGTGAGCAAAAATGCATCTGGGTCTAGTGAGTCCTTATTCTCCTGTTCTAAATAATAATGGGACATTTCTCATAAATTTTGAAGCCATGGAAAAAACAGAAATTTTTTAAAAAATTAAATATATTAGACTTAGGTTTTCAGGACCTGCTCTAGACAGACATTTCTTTGCTAATTATCAGCATGTTTTATGAGTAAGTTTTCACATAAATTTGCTATATCTTCCATAATTAAAAAGATGAAATTCCAGATTAAAAAAGGACTTTAAAATATTTCCCTTGTTTTGATAACAAAATCAAAAATGTCCTGGAAAGGTAAATTTTTTATCATTTCTTCTAGATTTTTTAATATATTAAGTTCTTGATATTGCTTATGTCACTGTGTAGCAAAATGAAAAGTATTTTACAGTGTCGAGTATAAAGGACACAAAATTGTGTTGACTCTAACCGCGACAGTGTCGAGCTACACACGCGTCGTAAAACGTCAAATATTGGTGGAATTATGGATTTGCATTTTTAGATAAATTTCCCATTACGTTATGTCTTTATAACAAAATTTTTTTAAATGTAAGTATATATACATATCATGACTGTGTTTTTTACTTTTGTCACAATAGTCTTGTGAATATTCTATGGTACTGTTTTTGTCTCTCTAAGACACTTATGTTGAGGGGGCATTGATCTCTTGCACCTCTGAAACTGTATGTTGACTTTCTAGAGTCACCTTATTACTCTAAGCCGAGAAAAGTGGCGTCCTGGAGATCTTTGAGGACAGTAGCAAGCATGCCTCTTGGTAACAGAATGTCCTTAACCCCACAGAAGCTGTGGCTGGGAAGCTCAAATCAAGGTACGTGGTTGCTCCGACAGAGACCTTTCCTGCTCCACAGGAGAGTTTTAGGAATTGCGGGTGGTGATTTAAGATAGAGTTTGTGATATGACTTATTTGAATGACATTGTTTTTAATCTTCTCAAAGACGTCGAGCCTCGTAACCTTTCCGTTGATGTGCAGTGTAGTTTCTGACGGTTTGCGTGTGTGACACCGTGTCCCTTTGAGTCTTAAGATGTCTCAGCACGGCTGGCCCGGCATGTTGGAGACAACTCCTACCGGCTTGCACGAGCCAATGGTTCCATTTCTAGGAATTTTGTGAGCTGGTCTATGGCACACTGACAGCTTGAAATTGGACATGGTGGGAATATTCATACCAGGGAAATAGGCAGATGCTACAAATCTGGGCTTCCTTTGTCTCTTGAGAGCTGCTTATTGAACATTTATCAGCAAAGCACTGATTGCCACTATCTGCTGGTTGACTTAAGCTTTCTTCCGCCCAGGAAGATTGATTATTAGAGGCAAAACCTCCCGTTGTGTTTGTGTGTACCTGTCGTGTTAAATCCATGCACGTTCAAACCAGGAAGTCTGACCCAACCCCTGAAGTCAGACCTGACCTTGGAGCATGCACGGACCAACCCCCCCAGCAGCACGCCCGACTATCTGACAGAAGCTTTAAGAATGAAGAGGTCACATCTCAGGCGTTCTGCCAGCAATGGTGAGCATGGTGATGGTGACAAGGCCACACGTAAGGAAAAGCAGGAGGGAGAGTGTGGGATTTGCTTTGACTCAGTGAGATTGGGGCTTCCTGTGCTGGCTCCGTCCCTACGAGGTCATGGAGAGAGGACAGGGGTCCTGCAGGTCCACTCTGCCCTTCTAGAAAGTAGCTTTCCTAATGTGGACAGTGGCATCTTCCCAGGCTCCCATGGGGCCCACCTCCCTGAACTCGGAGTCATACTGAAATCTTTTGGATACACAATCTTAGAAATAACAGTTGCGAATGAGGAAAAGCCCATGTCTCACCCGAAAAGCTGGCTCTGTTGCCTGTGTCTGTCTTCCTGCCTGGTCTTCAGCCACGTTTCCTGCCTGGCTCTTCCTGCTGTCCTTGCAGACCTCCGCCGGGAGCGCGGCGGGCCCTTGTCGCTGTGACCCCGAGCTGACCCCCTTCCTGTGTTGGCTGGCTCTGAGTTCTACTTTAGGCTTGAATGTTTTAGAGTCTCGGTATATTGGGTATCACTCTGAAACCAGAGTGTGCTTCACTGTTTGGACATGGGGAAGGGTATTGTTTCTCTGTCTTTTTGTTTTGTTTGTTCTTTAAAATCTGAACATACCACTTCTCCTTTGACCCCTTCTTTCCTTTTCCTGCAAGTAAGCCCTGGGTTCACACCTTTCCGTTTCCTCCCGCTTTATCTTTCTGTATGGCTATCAGTTTTGGTCTCCTTAATTTGGGGGAAGTATTGTGGTCAGGCTAAAAATGTTGAAGTATTTTTGTTCCTTTTTTTTAAAATCCTCCTTTTTTAAAAAGGGTAATTTTATCAACTTCCAGGTTTTCCTTAAGGTACAGCCAAGAATTCTTTCTGCTGTTGAGATGATCTTTTCAGACATTTGCGTGTTGCCCTCCAGGTCATGTTCCCGGGACCCTGGTCTACAGAGAGAAGGAAGACATGTATGATGAGATCATTGAGCTGAAGAAGGTAATGTTTCTGTCTGTCCCTTGCTGGTTTTGGATAGCGAGAGCCTTCTGCAAGGACAGCTGGGACAGTCAGGGTCGGTGCTGACATGTCTGCACGGAAAGAACATGAGCGTCGAAGGGACGCCCGAGTTCGAAGCCGGGCCTGGTGCCTTGGAAGTGGGGTGGCCCACCTCACACCAGCTGCGGGAGAAGCCTCCCCCGTGTGTCGGTGCCGTCTCTGCTCTGCTCCCGCAGCATGGCAGGGAGTCAGGGGAAACACGGGCTTGACCTCACAGTCCCTCCGCACAGAGATTTGGCGTCGGGTAAGGTCACTGGTGTCGTTGTTATCAGGAGCCTCCCGTGTGTGTGTGTCTTCTGTGTGACCCGGACGTTCCACGTGCCCTCACTCGATGGAGTTCTACAGGAGTCTGAGGGAGCGCACGCGGTTAGCCGGTGATGACCTTGAGACTCAGACAAGGTAGTAGTCTGTCCAAGGTCAACCAGTAGCAGAATGAAGACTTCCACCAAGGCCATCCGCCTCCCAAGACCAAGGCTGCTTTTACTGCCCTGTGCCATCTCCCACTCCCTGAAGTGCGAACTGCACTGAGATGAATCACCGTCATCTGCGTCACCCTCACCATAACCACGACGGCCACACTGTTCTTTCCCGCCCTTACACATTCTCGTGCCCCTAGAGAACAGGCCAGGGATCGCTCCCTTCCATAACCTTAGTCTCTTTCTAGCCCCACTGTCCCCTCCAGCCGAGCCGTATCGGGGGGACCACGGCCCGTCTGGGCACCAGAGGTTAAACAGGGTGTGGGTAGCCAGCACCCCCAGGGCACGGCCATATAGTGAGGAGCCTGCAAGGAGCAGGCTGGTCTGGGCCGCTGTGTACGAGACACAGTGCTTTTGTGTCGGGCCAGACCGGATGCTCGGATGTCAGGTAGAACCAAGAGACTGTGCTACCGTGGGAGTGGCCCAGCAGTGAAGGTGCCGCCCGTGCCCCCATACTCCCTTGTCCTCAGAAATTGCAAGCAAATGTTGGGCAACTGCTTATCGGCGGTATGGTGGGGAGAACCCTTATTTTGAACTCTGCATCATCACTGCAGTAGCACTCTTGGATCTTCTTCGGGCTAGAAGTGGGTCCCTGGGAAAAATTGTACTGACTTTATTCAAACTTACCATCACAGGCATCTGGAAAAAATCAGCCTAGGCTTCTAAATGCAGAGAGAGGAGAATTTCACTTCCATGACTCCGTGGCTCTGGGATCTTGAGCATCAGAGTCGTTTTTCTATGGCAAATTTTGCCTCAGTTTCCTGTTGAAAAATGGGGACCATAAAGGTGCAGTTTCACAGGGTAGCTATGAAAAGTTCAGCAAAGTACCTGTGCGAGTATTCCACCCCACGCCCAGCACTCAGCCAAGGTCCCAGGGTGTAGACTGTCCCAGGGATCCCGGCCCTCAGCCAGGGTCCGGGGCTGTAGACCGTCCCAGGGAGCCAGGGAGCCTGGCACTCAGCCAGGGACTGAGGGTGTAGACCGTCCCAGGGAGCGCGGCCCTCAGCCAGGGTCCCGGGGTGTAGACCATCCCAGGCAGTGGCAGAGGTAGCACAGTCCCCTGCACCAATCTCCCCCACCTGTCAGCACAGTATCAAAACTAGGACGTGGACACGGGCGCCGTGTGCATGTCCAGTTCTGTGCCATGTCACCACATGTGTATAGTCATGTACCTGCCACCTTGGTCAACATACGTGCTGCCCCCAGGCTGCCCCTCAAGCTGCCCCTTTGTAGTCACACCTGTCTCCCTCCCCGCTCACCATTCCTAACTCCTGGTGACCACTGACGTTTCTCCCCATCTCTATAATTTTGGCATCCGGACGATGTTCTGTACATGGAATTACACAGTATGTGAGTTCTTGAGATTGCCATTTTCCACTCAGCATCCTGCCCTGGGAGCCTTCCAGGGTGGCCCATACCAGGGGCTCCTTCCACCCAGCCCTGGTCCAGCTGTATCCTTCGAAGTTTGATGTTATACTTTTTTGATGTGCTAATTCCCTGAAGACCCTTTGGCCCATGATTATTTGGAATTGTGTCGTTAAGTCTGAGAGTGTAAAGATTTTCATGTTGTTTTTGTTGCTGACTTGTAGTCTGACTCATTGTGGCCACAAGACACACCTCGTGTAGTTTGATTTCTTGTGTGTCCAGGTTGGCCGCGTGGCCCGGGCAGTGTCTTCGCGTCTGTGCTATGGGCCTGGGTAGAGAGTGTGTGTGCTGCTGCCGGGCAGGGTGTCGTGTACAGGCCGTCAGCCCGTGTGGGGTGGCAGGGTGAGCTCCCCTGCACCCCTGCTGGCTCTCTGTCCAGCTGCTTGCTCATCGCTGAGGGAAGGGTGTTGAAGGCCCACTGTGCCCGTGGGTCTGGCCTACCCTCCAGTTTTGTCACTTGTTGGGTGTATGTGCGTTTAGGGTTGCTGTGTCCTCGGTGGATTAGCCCTTAGGGTCACTGTGTGACACCCGTGTCTGTTCTCTGACATCCGCTTTGTTTGATACTATGGACCCACTCCCGCTTTCACTGGTCAATGTTGCAGTGGTGTCTCTTTTTCCATCCTTCTATTTCTGTCTCCTATCTCACTACGTGAAAATCAACACAATTGGTCATGTTTCTTTAATCTACTTTGCCGGTTTCTGTCTTCCAGGTGGTTTGTTTAGATCATTTATATTTAATGTAATTTTTGGTATATTAGGATTTAAGTCTTCCATTTTATTTGTGTGGCCTCATTACCCCTGGACGGTAAAGACCTTACCCTCCCCTAGGGCTCCTCTGACCACCCCTCTCCCCCAGCAAGGAGGGGGCAGGGCGTCTTGCTAGGGCCTGGTGGGGGTGGGGGCTGGGCTCCGCGCTCAGTCCTCGCTGGCAGGGATGGGGCCATGCTCCCCGTTCTGCAGGGTCTGCCCGAGGTGGAGCCGTTATTGTCTGTAAGTTTTCTGCCTGGTGAGGCTCCCCTTTCCTGCTGGGGAGAGGAGGCTTTCCTGTCTGTGCCCGTGGGCTCATCCAGGCTTTGGCTTTCCCCTTTACTCCACTGAGGGCATGTGAGGCACAAGGGGGGACTCTGCGGTTGTCTCTTGGGTCCGAGCTAGTCTGCTTCTTCTCTCCACCTTTCTGAGCCTCATTATGTTTGCCTCCCATATAGTGTCCAAGGTTTCTCACTGTACAGAGCAGGAGGAACAGGGAACAGTGAGTGTACCCCCCATTTTCAGAAGCAGAATTCCCATGATACGATTTCTTCTCCTTCCCAATAACTGTGCATGAACTGACTTATTGATTAAACCCTCACCAAGTGCCAGGAATGTCTTGTGCCCCAGAGCGCCACTGGCCAACCGCGGGCACGTCGCCAACCTGCCAGGCCTCCCCCCGCGGGTGCATGCTTTGAGTCGGCTGACTGGTGGTGGTTTTTTTCAGACACCATCTCTCTTCTGGGACACCACAAGTGCCCGGAAAGGAGAAGGGTGTTTCCAGGATAGCTGGCTAGTCCAGCTGGGGGCTGATGCTGGAAGCTGGTTGACCACTGGCTGACCGTGTGGGCGCTGCCCCCTGTGGCTTGTGAGTGCTGCTGAGCCTCACGCGCTCTGGGGTTCCACGGCCTGGGAGAGAGCTTTTTCAAGTGAGGACATGAAAAACAAAAATGAAAAATATCCTGCCATCACCCTTTCATAAAAGGGTGATGTAAGTCCAAACGAGGCAACGGAAGAGGTTTCCAAGTACAGGGCAGCTTGGGATCGAATCAGCTCAGTTGAGTGGGAAATTGACTGCATGGTCTTTTCTCCTCAGTTCACCACAGATTGGTGAAAACTTGTGAGGCCATTGCTCTGATCCCCTGGGCCCTAGCAGAGGACAAGGATTTTAAGTGGACGTTAGTTAGCCTTTGACGAGTCCTAGCGACACATGCTGTGACAGACGCAGGCTCACTTGGCGGTGCCCACAGGACTCCTTCCCGTGACATGCAGCTGTCCTTCCCCCACGACACACACAGGGCCCTGACTGGGCACCGGGCCATTTGCAAGGTCTGCTCCGACTGGTGTTTCACCTGGATGTTCGTGTGCACACGTGTGTGCACGGGTGTACGTGTGTGTGGTTCTGTTTCCCTTCAGTCATTGCACATGCAGAAAAGTGATGTGGATCTCATGAGAACAAAGCTTCGGCGCCTAGAAGAGGAAAATAGCAGAAAGGACCGGCAGATAGAGCAGCTGTTGGACCCATCCCGAGTAAGTTGTGGCCCCGCGTGGCGGCGCCCGGCCGCGGGCTGGGAAGGCACAGGCTCCATTCCTCAGGCTGTCGGGGGGAGAGGCCGCGCCGCCCGTGTCTTCATCTCTCCGTCTGCTTACCGCAGGGCCCGGATTTTGTTCGGACTCTGGCAGAGAAAAGGCCTGATGCCGGCTGGGTGAGTACAGTCGCCGGCAGCACAGATAACCTCCCACTGAAATCTGAGTTCCAAACAGCCCACGCTGGAGGGTTGCCTCTCCTCTAACGCAGTCGTACGAGAGGATTGACAGAGAGCGAGGGCCCAGAACTGCCCAAGCCCAGTCTCCACGGAGCCGACTCAGAGGGCTTACCAGAAGATGCTGCGGGCGCTCTTGGGGGCACTGGGGAGGCTGAGCGGGCTCCGCGCGGGGCAGGAGGTACATTATAGGGCACAGCGGTCCCAGTGGGGGCGTCCCCCGCCACACCCGAGACACACACATTGTGCTGAACCAGTGACGCTGAGTGAAAACAGAAACCAAGCGGGATTGGATTAACCCTACGGCCTCCACGCCACCACTGCTGTGGGGCCACACCGCACGTAGAGGACGGAGTGAAGCGGGGGACGGGCAACAGCACCATTCTGTGACCAGTGCCATGGCGGGAAGCCCCCGCGGGTGGACAGAAGTGTATCCCCACAAGCCTCCTGAGTCCGGGGAGCAGCTTTACTTAGAAAGGCGACATGCAAAAAGAAAACTGGAAGGGTTGCAATTTTGAGATCGTTGAACACAAGGAATTAATAACACTAGTGAGGTGATTATTGGGTTTGGTGACCTCAAAGTTATAACAGAACCCCTGAGATGACAGCGGGAACTGGATCCGTGTGACGGGGGAGCGGGGTGGATGTGAATTGGTGCGACAGAGTCGTCTGCCCCGAGCCTGGAGAGGACAGGTGCTGGCCTGCACGGAGAGCAAGCCGTCGGCCCCGCGTTGAGTGCTTAAAGCCTGGCTCTGCCCCTGCGACCGCACAAAGGAAATACTTTCAGGGCCTAGAACACATCGAGTGTTTCCGCAAGGAAAGCATTCTTAGTTGAGTAGCAGCTCCTAGACCTTGTGTAGTCGTACGTGATCTCACTGGATTGTTTTGTGATAGGGACCCAATCCCCATGTTCTAAAATCCGGAAACAGGTTAAGAGATTCGCCCAGGTTGGTTCGGAGTGAGCCCACAGGCCCCGTGCAGCCAGGCAGCACCTGCCTGGGTCCCCACCACTAGCCCGCGGCGCACACTTGAGTGAAGACGTTCCCTTGAACTGCCACGGGTAAGATGATCGGAACCGGCGTCGGCAGGCCTGGGAGCGCGCGGACGTGCTCCGAGCCGGACACTGCGTTTGGGGTCGGCGGGACCGAGCCGAGGAATGGTCCGTGAAGTCGTGCCCGTCGTGTGTCCAGTGCTGCTCTCTTTGGGCTCTGTCTGCGGGAGAAGATCCAGTATAAAAAGCCTTTCACACAAGGGTGTTTATAGCTGCCCAACTGGAGGGGGACACTGAAGAGAACCGTTACAAGTAGAATAACACTACATTAAAATACACCTTCAGAAAAAATTTTTTAAAGAATATAAAACAGTATGGCTATGTTCAGAAACGTCTGTGTGGTTAATTTAGGTGAGGATCTAGAATTATGTAAATGATGCATACCGTAGACGAAGGGCTTTTTGCATTTTTATTCTAACGCTGTGGGATTTTTCTTTTTTAAGATTTTTATTGATTTTATTTAGAGAGAGTTCACGTGCAAGCAGGGGGCAGGGCAGAGGCAGAGAGAGAATCTCAAGCAGACTGCTGCGCTGAGTGCAGAGCCTGGACGTGGGGCTCAATCTCACAACCCTGAGATCATGACCTGAGCCTGAACCAAGAGTCAGAGGCTCAACCAACTGAGCCATCCAGGCGCCCTGCTGTGGGTTTATTATTATTATTATTATTAAAGTTGATTAAAAGACAATCTAGATCCTCGGGAATGCACTGTTCCTACTTTCATACCCGCTGCCAAATCGCCCCTCAGAGTCACTGCATCTTGTGATTGGACACTTGTGCTGGTCACCATCTCCCCTCAAGAGACGTTTGCACGCGTGCACGAGGAGGGCTGGATGTCTACTGATGGCTTGTTTGTATTAGCAGCTTAAATGTCCATCAAGAGAGGGATGGGTATCTACACCAAATGATCGTACTGTGTAAGAATCACTGAGATCTGTAGGCACAAAAGGGATAGACGCCAAGGCCGTGTGTGGTGTGAAAATAACAACTTGCAGACTGTGTGTGGTAGGATGCCATTTCTGCAAACACAACAGACTGACAGATTGTCGATGGGTACACATCCCTGTAATGAGGTCTAGAGAATTCAGATTCAGTTGGGAACAATATTTAGTTGAGAGGAATAAGGTGAAGGAGCATAGTTCCGTCTATAATGTTTTAATTTTTTTACAAGAAGATGTATTCATGTATTACCAATATGATTGAAAATTTGCTTAAAATCCAATTAAAAAGTTGTTTGGCTACTCAAGAAGAAAGAAAAGGATAGTCTTCCAGAAGCATAAGGGTGCTATCTCCCAGAGTGATACATTAATAGAAGACATGAGGTGGACGAGCAGTGGAGGGGGCTCCTTCAGACCTCTGTCTGCTCTGCTCACCCCAGGGGAATACTGTGGACGCAGTTGCCCGGGGCAGGTCAGGGTTGGGGATCTTTGTATCTAGTGCTGGTGGTGCCTCTCGTCTCGGAAGTGTGGAACGCGGCCGAGCGGAGGGCTCTGCACCTGCAGGCACATCTCCTGGCCCTGCCCGCTCCCACCCGTGCCACCCTGCACTGAGCCAGTGCGACAGTTGGCCCTCTCTTCGCTGCACCTAGAGACTACAAAAGAAGCCATTGATTAAGGGGGGGGGAGGATGTCTGGGTGCTGCAGGGTCAGCTGGCAGCCTGGGGTCAGGACCGTCTGAGTGTCCGGAGGGAGGGGGAGGTCGAGGACACGGAAGCAGTCAAATTGATGTGCTGGCGTTCGATTGGCAGGTTGTTAACGGGCTAAAGCAGAGGATCCTCAAGCTGGAGCAGCAGTGCAAGGAGAAAGACAACGTGATTAAGTACGGACGCGCTGGCGGGGGGTGGGGGTGGGGGCAGCGGGTTCTGGAGGGTCACCGAGGCCTCGCCCCACCGTCCGCGGGCTGGAGCCAGCACGCGTGTCCCTCGCCTTGCCTCGTCTCTAGTACCAGTGTCTGCTCTGTCTGCTCAGACCGCAGCTTCAGTCCCCACCCCACCACCCTCTGTCCCATGTCCCCTGTCCCAGCTGCTTCTTTGTACTAACCCTTGTCCAAACGTCACCGGGAATGGTATCCTCCCTTCATCTCTTTTCCTGTCCCTGGTGCATTTAAGCAACGCTTTCTCTCCTCGGTCTTCTGAGGATCGCCTGATGATGTGCCCTGGGTCTGTGGTCTTGATGCCAGCCCTCGGTGCTAGGAAGCCAGCTGCCTGCCCTGCTCCCGCGGCGTCCTGGTGCTGCTCCGGGGTGGCTGCGCACGCATCCCCCCAGTAATGTAATGCAGAGGAGAGTCCTTCTGTTGCCCCGGTCTCCCCTGTGTACAACAGCCTCCTCCTGCTGGGTTTCTTGCTGAAACTGTCAACTGTGAACATTTTGATTATTTGCTGATTTCTCCTGTTTCAGACTCCTGAACTCTGTAACTGTACTTTCATTTGTCTGCTAGAGCTTTTTATGTGAAGTCTGTGGCAGACTGAGGGCGGGGAGAACGGTGCTGGTGCTACGGGAGGGAAGGGATGCTCCCCTGCCCACCCCCAGAAGCAGCTGTTCTCACCCCGGGGTACTGGGTCCTTCCCAGTCACTTCGCGTCTTCCCAGAAAGCCTCCTGCTTAGTAAGGAATAGCTTTAGGGCGTCTGTTACCGCACCTGGAGGTGGCCGGTCCAACACGGAGGGGGTCCTGAGGATGGGAGAGGGTCCTCCTGTGGGTCTCGGCGCAAGTCCACAAGGCTCCCCACCCAGCCCGCTTCTCTTGCGAAGCCCTTCCTTGGCTGATGTTCCGGGAAGCACTCTTGTCCTTGGTCTGCCCTGGGGGTGCCAGCACGCCGTGTTAACTCTGAACTTGGGTTTCTAGCAAACTGCAGACTGATATGAAGACCACTAATTTGGAAGAGATGAGGATTGCCATGGAGACTTACTATGAGGAGGTGCGTGGCCTTCTCCAGGGGGTGGGGGCGGTCATCCTGCTGCACCCTGGGGACCCTTAGCTTGCACGGGAATCCCAGCAACTCAGTGTTACTTGCAGCCACTAGGCAGAAATCAGGAATCTGATTACGGCTTTTTTTCAGGGGATGTCTTCATGCTCATTTTCTATTGTAATGTGCTTTAATTTGGTATTTACAGATTCATCGTCTCCAGACTCTCTTGGCAAGCTCTGAAACTGCAGGAAAGAAGTACGATCATGTCCTCGGGAGCCACGTTTTGTGTTTGGTCCTAAGAGTAACATAGGCGTTATGTGGGAGGGGCGTGCACTGCCCTTCTCTTTGGAGCCAGCACCTGTGTGGTGTGTTCGTGGCTCGAGTGCACGTGTTTCCATTTGGGACAGTTACACACATGCCCTCACAGTGGCCTCACGGCATGTTCAGCTCTCCGCGCATCGAGTCCTTAGCTCCTACTACGGAACAGCTTCACATACACTTAGCGCTGTTGTTGAAAGCAGGCCTTCCTTTTCAAGAAGACCTTTAATACCAAGTACAAAGAATACGGGTTCATTTCCCCAAAGGAGTTTCTTAGGAGAGACATCAGGGTTTCCTGATCTCGAAGATTCCGTTATCACAGATTTGGCCAGGTCGCTGGCCTTAGCACTGAGCTGCGAACGTGTATCAGGCGTTCCCCCTGTGCCAGGCACAGCCTTCCCTTTTCCCTTTTGGGGTTGGCAAGCTTTTTCTATAAAGGACAGTTGATCCTTGCTGTTCCCAGGAGGTATGTTCTGTGAAGTGTCCCCCAACACAGACCTGCTTGAATACGGAGCCATCACCCCTGGGGGACATGCAGAGTAGGTTCCTGTGAGCCTCAGGTCACAACATCATCACCTATCCTGTTTCTGTGTGTGTTTCTGGTTTAAAGACGGCTTATTTAGTAGATATTGCTGATGCCCGGAGCAGCATCGCACACATGTGCTTTCTCGCGATTAGGAACGCGGGGCAGCCCCTGAGCATTGTGCTGAAGGGGGCTGTTTTAAACCATGAGGCCACTGACAAAAGCGCAAATGTGGGAAAATAGCACTCACTAGATGGTGGAGGTGCCGCTTGGGGGGCACGTGGGGACTGCGGGGAAGGCAGAGCCCACCCCCACCCCTACACCCTGCCAGGAACTCGCCTCTCAGGCTTTCCGCCCCTACCCGTGTCCCTGGGCGACCACGAAGGCACCCCAAGTATCGATTCAGGGGTTACAAATAAGTTTTAGCAAGTAGGCAAATTGGCAAATACAGAAATTGAACAGTGAGGACTGGCTGTATGTTAGACTTTGTGGGATAAGGAGCAAAATCATTCTACAGGTATTTATGTAACGACAGAAAGCGAGTTCTCACACACTTTCTAGTGATGCGGTTTAAGATATATCACTAGTATCAAATACAGTATTTTGTTCCACAGGCTTACAAATGAGGATGGAATCCAGTTTGGGGGATAGCAGTTTGCTTCCTGGGGGCTCAAAGTCTGTGTTCCCTATGCGATGCAAATACCTGTAGAAACCACTCTGAGCCAGGGACAGGCTGCCGTGCGTGCACCCCTCTTTTAAGGCATTTATGAAGCCAGTTTAGGAACTCAAACCTAGCCCTTGGCTTTGTTACTCCCAGGACTCCAGGGGAGAAGAAAATGGGCCTCAAAAGGCAGAAAAAAGTGAGCAGCGCCCTCCTGAGTTTGTCCCGGAGCGTCCAGGAGCTCACGGAAGAGAACCAGAGCCTGAAGGAAGATCTGGACCGCGTGCTGAGCAACTCCCCCACCGTCTCCACCATGAAGGGTACCGTCCCTGGAGCCACCTGCGGAGGGACGCTCCAGGAGAGGCCGCATCTCGTGTTCTCTGAGGGAAGACGCGGGCGGAGGCTGTGGGAGCGTCCTGTCCGGCCCCCGAGGCCCTGGTTCAGCCGCCACAAATGCAGACACATACTGCCAGGCGACATTAAGATTTTTTCCAAAATCTAACGAGCACTTGCTGTGTGCCAAGCACCCTTCCAGGGAGTGGGGCAGAGTAGGGAACGGAAGCAGACACCCCTCGTGGGGGTGACATCGTCCTGGAGGGCACGGGTCAGGTGGTAGCAAGTGCCGGGGAGCAAAATGCAGAGGGAAGACCGCAAGTGTCGGGTGCAGTGGGGTGTGCACCTGTGAGTAGGGCTGTCAGGGACAGGGCAGCTGACAGAGCTGGGACAGGTGAGGGACAGCCAGCCCCAGAGCCAGCGTGCCCCGCCTGTGGCGGCAGTGGGAGGGTGGTGGCGGTGAGACAGAAGGCACGGGGTTAGGTGCAGGACAGGACCGTGGAGGCCGTGCTCAGGCCCCTGGGGTTTGGGCCGGGGGGAAAAGACCAGCTTCTGTGCTGAGTGGACTGTGGGGAGACGGGGCTTCTGCGGTATCCTCGCAGGGGCTGCTGACGACCCGGAGCAGGGTGGCACCGCGGGGCTGAGAGGTGGCCGGGTTCCAGATACCTTTGGGAGATCAGGTGCAGCCTCTGAGGGAAGGGAGGAGCCAGACTCCAGGGCTTTTCTCTGAGTGACCGAAAGGATGGGTGTCCCTTACTGAGGTGGAGGTGACAGAGAGGAGCGGGTCTGGGGCAAGGGAACGGGTCCAGTCTGTGGTGTGGAATAGGGGTCCAAGTGGAGACAGGACATATCAGTGAGTTCAGGGCGGAGGCTTCGGCAGGTGGTCCCCGGCCAACAGAGGACCTGGGTGGGATTCAGAGCACCCGTGAGTGAGTGCAGCAGAGGCGGGCCTGGGGTGCAGCCCCCGACACGACTCGGCAGTGCGCAGAGGGTGACCGGTGAGGGTGAGCCCACAGCGCAGTTGCCGGTGGCTGGCGAGGTGGCCGGCGGAGCTAGGAGCACCACGGAGGGAAGTGCTGGGAGGAGGGAGGCGGGTGACCTTGAGAAGGATCATCTTGGACTGATGGGGCCAGGCCTGACGGGTAGAATCAGAACTGGATGCTCCACTAGGGACAGCGCTGCGGTGTGGGGGACAGAATCCTTCGCAGGGAGGCACTCTTTGGCTTATAAGGACCTGCCAGGTGGGGGTCCCCCGGCTTTGCTGCCGGCTGTGGAAAGGGAAACTCGCAGGCTGTGCTTGAGATGGGTGGTCCGGGCCGAAGGGGCCGTCGGGGTGGTTGTGTGAAGTATGTCTCTTAAAACCCTTGCCTCCGTCAGGTTACGTGGAATGGAGTAAGCCCCGGTTGCTTAGACGGATCGCAGAGCTGGAAAAAGTGAGTGGTGCGCCTCTCAGCTCACCTGTCCTTTCGGACCACAGCCGGTGCTCAAGGAGAAGCCAGGCAGCTTCTAAAGTGGGGACAGAGACGAGTCCTTTGCTCACAGGACACTCAGAGTGAAAGTGTGAATGACTAGCGGCCGTCTACCAGACGGCGCCTGTGCAGACTTCTTGCGGGTCTGAACGAGACCCACAAGCTGTGCCGTTCCTGTCCCCGGTGTCAAACGGGGTAAAACCACGGTCGCGTGGCACGTGGTTTTGGACTCCCGTGTGTGACCGGGGATGGATGCAGGTGATCCTAGAGCCTTTCAGAAACCCAGCCTGATGAGTACGTGTGGGCTTTCTGCCGACGGTCACTCACCAGCCTGTGGATCTGAGTCCTCAGAAAACTCTGTCCATCTACCAGAAGACTGGGGAGATTTGAATTTGCAAATTTGATCTCACTCCTCTGGTCAGTAACCAACTGGACTCTACTGGAGTTGGTCAGAAGTGTCAACAGCTTCTGAGTAGCCTGGCAAAATCATGAGAGCTACCCCCTTGTTTGGCTGAGCAGAGTAAACCTAGAGGGGAGCATTAAACAAAATAATTTTACATATTTACACAGCATTAAACACCTAAGAAGTTTTTATGTATTGTGGGTATTTTGAAAATAAAGCTCATTAGGAAGAGAGTCAGCCGGGGGTGGCTCAGAAGTACCGCGGGACGGTGCTTTCTTGGCTGGGACAGGGGCTGGCATCAGGCAAGCTGCAGGTGCTCCATAGCTCTTAATCAGCACAACTGGATTATCACTTAGGATTAAAAGCATAGAGATTGGAAATTTCAGAAATCCTAAGGAAATACTAGGGTAAATGAGCACCAAGGAAAGAAGCTTATGAATTTGCCTCCAGTGGGCCCTGTGTTCTGTTTTATGAATGGCACCTTGCCCCCCGCCTGCACCAGGCTGGGCTCTGCTGGTGGGGTGCTCTTTGCTTCCCATGGGGGGCTCTGTTGGCAGGGTACTCTTCTCTTCCCACAGGGGGCGCTGTTGGAGGGGGTGCTCTTCACTTCCCCGAAAGGCTCCCCTCCCGACGGGCTCCTGTGAGGTGGAGCTGTCCCAGGGTTGTGAGGTCATACGCGGTCCCATACCTGTGCTTGGGATAAGTTTCCCTCGGTCACTTGTCTCTTCCTTGGGTTTCATAACCGTAAAGTAAAATGAGAAAGAACGTCTACAAAATGCCTGTGTTGCCTCTAGAAAATAAGTGCGATGGAAAGCCCCAAATTACACGCTTCAGAAGTGGTCAAGTCAAACGCCGTGGTGCGCTCTGCGTCCAGCTCCACTGTGCCCAGGCAGCCGGGAGGCGACCGGCAGGATGACAGCGAGCGTCTCCGGGGGGCTGTGCAGAGCCTGAAAGGCGAGCGGAACGCCCTGCAGATGCAGCTGCAGGAGAAAGAGTAGGTTGCGGGGCACAGCCGGCAGCTCATGCCCCTGGGAGGGGGTTGTGGCTAGAGTCTTCTGGTGAATTCGGGGGAAATGCTCAGCTCCTTGTAGTAATTGCTGCTGTAGTTTTATGTGATTCAGAAACTTTCTAAGTCTTGTTTGTGAAGTAGAAGTCACTTTAGTGGTAAAAAGAAGACGTTAATTGACCATATTACATCACTGAAAGAAGGGGAGGTATCATTTAAATCTGTTCATGCTGAATTCCAGAGCGATTTCCAAATTATTTTTTAGAGAAGAATTTGCTTTCATTGATTTGTGTAAAGTAGATAGGCCATCAGTTAGATCTTAGGCAGAGTGGTTTAAAGAGTCAGCAATATGTTTATGACTTCCAGTCTAAATGCCAAATAAGACCTAAATGCTGTCAAGTGTTCAGTGTGACCCTGAGAGTTTGAAAGGCAAAGTCTCCAGATTTTCCTTATTCACTGTTTGTTCTCTAGTGTCTTGATCTGTAGCCTGTCTCCTCCACTGTTTACTTGTGGCTTCTCTAGTTGCAGTTCTGTCATGAATAAGCCAAACCCATGTGTCTTCTGAGATGGGGTTTATCTCTCAGAGTATGGCCTGGGGAGCCAGTAGCCTCAGCATCACCTGGGAGCTGATTAGAGATGCAGAATCTAGGCCCCGCCCACCTGGGAGCTGGTTAGAGATGTAGAATCTAGGCCCCGCCCACCTGGGAGCTGGTTAGAGGTGTAGAATCTAGGCCCCGCCCACCTGGGAGCTGGTTAGAGATGCAGAATCTAGGCCCACCTGGGTGCTGTTTAGAGATGCAGAATCTAGGCCCTCCTGGGTGCTGGTTAGAGATGAAGAATTTAGGCCCCGCCCACCAGGGGATCTGGTTAGAGATGCAGAATCTAGGCCCCGCCCACCTGGGAGCTGGTGAGAGATGCAGAATCTAGACCCCGCCCACCAGGGAGCTGGTTAGAGACGCAGAATCTAGGCTCTGTTTACCTTGGAGCTGGTGAGAACAGAATCTAGGCCCCGCCCACCTGGGGAGCTGGTGAGAGATGTAGAATCTAGGCCCCACCCACTGGGGAGCTGGTTAGAGATGCAGAACCTTGTCAGACCCAGATCTCCTGAATCTGACTCTGTGTCTGATGAGGCCCCCTGGCGATTCATGCGCACATTCAGGTCTGAGAAGGACTCCCTAGCGGACTCCTCGCCTACTAAGTTCTCTGCCACCTTCCGTTTACAGCAGAGGAAAATCCTTTCACATTCCACCTGTTCTTACTCTTCCAATCCAAGTGCACCTATGTGAATTGGTAGGTTCTTTGTAAGAATTAGTGTTTCATGAAAGGTTTTCAGAATTGGACTAGTCATTTTGATCATCTCTTCAGCTGTCACCTGGCATGATAGGAGCTTCCACTTATTGAGCCCTTGCTCAGTGACAGACACTCTGTGGAACACTCAAGGTGTTTCGTCTGACTCATGAGATTAAGGAACCTTGAAAAGTGAGGTCACACAAGAGTGAGCAGTGGAGCTGAGCTCAGACTGAGGTCTCCTCTTGGAGTGGTGTTCTTAGCCACGTGCCACCTGTGGGTCCCAGGAAAGCCCTGTGGGAAGCAGTTTAGTTGGAGGTCCTAGGTCACCCCCCCCGTCCTTGATGGCTCAGATCAGGCAGCAGCCTCATGCGGCGTGGACAGGACCCTCCGAGCACTCATCTCAGGGATTATGTACCAACTGTGTGACTACTGGGATAATGCAATATTCCAGCTCGTCTGGGGTTGCACCTTGTCTGCGTCTCCTCACCCCTGTGTCCTGGGCACCTAACAGTTGGAAACACGAATATCTGGAGGAACCACGGCTGGAGTGGCAGGCCTGTCGGGTCTGTTCCCGGCTCTGCGTGGTGGTAAACGAGCGCCTCTGTCCATCTGCCCCCCTGTCCGTCCACTGTCATAAGAAAGGAAGTTGGGTGTGTGATGTTTTCGGAAAGTTCTTCCTGCTCTGTGATCACTGGAGTAACTTTGTTCTCACGAACGCTGAAATGTCTCTGGTTCTGTGTGCTCAGGTTGGAGGTCAAGCAGCTGCTACAGACCAACGCTGACCTGCAGCAGGAGCTGGAGCACGTGAAGGGAGGCGAGGAGGAGAGGCGAGGGACAGAGGAGGCTCTGAGGTGAGTGCTCCCAGAGTCACAGGCGGTGAGATCACTGGATTCCAGGCGCTTCTCGTCCTCCCTCCGAGCGGCTCTGGAGCGGTTTTCACACGGCTGCCCCAGCCCGACACCCTGCGGCTGCTCTTCATGTCCTGCAGAGTAAAAGTCCCAATTCTGGGAAAGGGCTCTTCCCCACCAGGCTGCGGTTTGCCTCTGCACGCACCCTTCGCTGCTGCCTCCCGGGTCGGCGCCTCCCGCACCTTCAGTGTCGTTGCTTACGCCCCAAAAAGGGGAAAGAGCCCCAAGCCCATCAGTTGAGGCAAGATAAGAAATGGAAGTACGTCCGCGCAAAGCAATAGAAAGGACTATAGGTCTGACAGACGTGACAGCGTGGGCGAGCCTCCCACACATCACTCCACGTGCAGGAAGCGGACAGGAAGGGCCACGCACTGAACAACCCCAACACGTCGGCAAAGTCACAGAGAGGGGTGCGGGGCGGGGAAGCGGGAGGGACGGCTAAGGGGCACGGGGCTCCTTCGGGGTGACGGGAGAGTTCTGGAGACGTTCGTGACGGTGGCACGATGCCGTGAGTCCATGGAAACCTGTACTTTCATCCTGGACGTTAGTGGCTTTTACGTTGTACAAACTTCACCTCAGTGAGAAATGCCCCCAAAAGTAAGAATGCTGGGTGGAAATATTCAGCACTCAGATTAATGAGGAAGACACAGATTGCTGGAACGAATAAGAATATTTATTTTCTGGAGAACCGTGACTAGGTTTTGTCGGAAGGCGGGACTGAAGGAGACAGAAGGGGCAGGTGCACAGGGAAGAGCTGTTCTCCTGTCACCTTTTTTTTTTTTTAAAGATTTTATTTATTTATTTATTTTGAGAGAGAGAGAGAATGAGAGAGAGCACATGGGGGAGGGGTCAGAGGGAGAAGCAGACTCCCCGCCGAGCAGGGAGCCCGATGCGGGACTCGATCCCAGGACTCCAGGATCATGACCCGAGCTGAAGGCAGTCGCTTAACCGACTGAGCCACCCAGGCGCCCTCTCCTGTCACCTTTGACCCCTCAGCGAGGACGCGAGTTGTATTTGCTTCCATTCACACTGTGCACTGAGAAGCCCAAGTGGTGCTGCCCGTGTCACTCCTGCCATCAGGATCTGCCTGGTTCTTCCCACGTGCCAGAGGCGGTGGCGGCCCGGGGTCCTCTGGCCCTGTCCCTCCGCAGCTGCCAGCCCGGCTGCTGACACAGGCCACAGAGCATGGTCCCACGGTGGCGGACCCCATGCCGGCGGAGGTGCAGGGGGCTGGTAGCGGGGGCCGCACGTCACCGCGGGAGAGGTGGCCTTGGCAGCCCCGCAGTCGGCCCTCCCTGCCATCACATACAGATGTGGGCCACTGCGTGATGACGAGTAAGACGTCATCTTTTCCCTCCCACTGTAGAGAGGAAATTCAAACCCTTACGAAGAAGTGTCAAGAACTGGAGGAAATCAGGAGACAAGAGAGAGACGATCCCGCGGAGAGGAGTCTTGAGGTATGGCTCAGCTGGGTTTCAGATTTCCTGCGTGGGCGCCGCGGGGCTCCTGGCCAGGGCGGGACGGTTCTGTGGGGCCTGTCCCCCAGCTCTCCTGACTCCGATGGTGACAGTCCAGTTCCCCTTTATCTTCCCCTTGACGTCCACAAATTGGGGTTCTGACCTGATCAATTGTCAGTTAAGTGACTTTTTTGAACGAGCGTTGGGGTCTTAGATAGTGAAGCTGAGTGAAGATCTTCCCCAAACTTCACATATGCAGAAAGTCTAATTGTCCAACAAGGGGGTGTCCGCTTGTGGGTGAGGAGTGACGCTGCGTGAGGACCTCCTGCCCCCCGCCCTGTGTGTTTAATGGAAGCTTCGAACTGTGATGTCGACACGGCCTGGCGGGGGGAGCGCTCGCTCCAGCGGGGCACCTGCTCGGGGCCCCCATGCCTGCCACTGAGCTGTGCACTCTCCCAGGTGTTGAATGAGTGTGTGGCGAATGGCAGGCTCGAGGCAAGAGGTCAGGGCGGGCGCCCGCCCTCCTGTGCCCGTCCCCTCATGGAGGCAGCTGCAGCTGAGGTGGCCTGTGTGGCCATGAGGGGCTCCTGTGGCACCACTTTCAAGCCCTCTGGCGCCCGCGGGCCCGGTGGCACCTGCACTTGGACGTCTGGTGGCTCCTTGCTAATCCTGTTTCCCAGTTGATGGGGTTTCTCAGATGGTAGGTGCAATCTACTAACACAAATAACAGAGGTGTTACAATCCTGTGGCTACCGTGTGCCCCCACAGGACGCCGCCACGCAAACGTGTGGTAGATAGCGCCGAGCTGGTAGAGGACACACGGTGGCCTCTCCGCAGTCCCTTTGCACGAGCCTCTGTCTGTCTGCTACCGATGTGGTAATACCTGGGGGCCCAGCAGGATGGTGGGGCTTTGCCTGGCATACACAAAAAGTTCTGTTGCTTCAGAAGGTGACTTACTGTTTTACAGCAAGTGACCTGACAGAGACGGTCACTGGGGCTGAGTTTCTGCTGAGGGCAGTGCAGGAATCGGGGCTGGCTTCTGGCTTCGGAGGCTTACTTGCTGGAGTCTCCACTGGGGGGCTCTTTGACTGCAGGACCCTGTGTGTACTTGGAAACCAGGGAAGAGCTGAAAGTCGGGAATCTGGAGAAGCCGAGGGGTGCAGCTTACCTGGCAGGCAGGGGAAGGCAGGGTCGTGGCGCGTGCTCGCGGGAGCCCCAGAGTTTGCACAGCGGCCGTGGTGCCGCTCGTCCCGCTGACCAAGTGTGAGGGTCGACAGTGTGAGTCCTTCCCGATCCCTCTGGAAACTATTTCTGCTGTGCAGGAAAGCGTCCTGTCGTGTTCTCTGTGGGGTGCTTTTTTGTGGCGGCTTTCCCGCGTCCTGGAGCGAGCCGCTCTGCACAACCGTCCGTCTCCAGGGCCCCCTGCTCCCCCGCAAGCCCATGCCCGCTGTCTGCCCCGGGCGGATGGGAGGCCAGGGCTGCCACGTGTGCGGCAGAGCCGAGCAGGGGCCCCCTTTCTTCCCACGTGGGTGCTCCCCGGGCTCTGAAACGGCAGGGCTCACCCACCTGTGACTTGTCTGTGATCCTGACCCCTGGGAGGCACCCGACAGAAGCCAACGCAGATTCCTCTGCTTATCTTAATTTCTCTGTTCTGGAGACCCCTCCCTGTGCAGAGAGGCCCGTTCGGGGTTCCCGTAGACGCTCATGTGGGAAGGAAAGCAGGCTTCCCCTATTGTCTCTTCGGCGTCCTCCGGAGCCGGAGTCACTGTAGCCCGGTCTCCGTCCCGGGCCCTGACATGCACCCGCCATCAGGAAGGCGGCCCTGGCTGGCAGGCTCCTCCCACACCAGGCCTCACACTGACGTCTAGGAGGATCTGGCACCGAGGCTCAGGCCCCCTTCTCCAAGCACCTTACCGCAAGCGTGCCGCTTTCCCTTAATCCCAGCAATTCGGGATCCGGATCCTCCACTAACTCAGCGCGAGGCACGGCGGCCGTGTCGGTACGGGGCCCCAGTGAACATTCTTTTCCTCAAGGGATGACACCCTTAATCACTGTCTCCGCATCCCCAGATGAGTCCCCAGTCCAGTGTATTGATTTTTATTGAGACATGTCATTGCAGGTAATAAATTTGGACCCTCAAGTGTGGTAGAAATCAGGGTTATTTCAATGGTCACAGTAGCAATTCTTGCTTCTTTTCACTGTGAAAACTGAGCTAGAAATCTATTGCCTTTAATCACAGAGGTCCTGTTTCTATCAGAGTCTTAGACGAAAAGAAAGACCAAACACAGGACCGCCCCCAAAGCGGGTAGACCTTGCAATAATACACACGTGTCACTGAGCTCGGTTAGTACGTCGTAGCATGGAAGGGGCTGCCCGTCGGACCCACAGGTGGTGTCAACACACCGGGTCTGGGGAGGGGGATGAAAACCGACCTTCAATCCATTTATTAGCTGCACGTTGTTTCTGCAGAGATTTGGTTTGTCGGATGGCATACTGAACAGATTTTCCTCCACATTAAAATTCTGGTCTGACGGGCTCCATCTGTATCATGCTGATATCCTGCCACCTGACCCGATCCCCATCTTCCCTGCCCGGCTTAACCGTCCTTTACACCTTGAATTTTGCAGACCCCAGAAGAACCCCGACCTTCCCTTCCCACCAGCAGGCCCTCTCAGCAGGACTGTGAGCCAGATCCAAGCAAGGAGGGCTCCCGGCCCCCCTCTGCCTGCTCCGAGGGGCGAAGAGACACGGCGGCCAGGATCCTGCAGACCCGGTGGAAGGTGTACCGACGCCAGGTGAGAGCCCGTGCAGGCCGTCCCTGTGCCATGTGGGCTGTGGGCTAGGTGCCACAGGCGTGGGTGGAAATGCGGGACAGACTCGACGCGCCTGAACAGACATCGTGGGGGGTGAGGGACAGACGAGCACCTGGACCTGCAGTGGAAGGACTCGGTCCTGTGGGGAAGGAAGGGGAGGTTTCCCTTTCAGCTCATCCTCGGAGGAGGGCGAGGGTCGTTTTCCAGGTGGCAAACGGCAGCGACTTGTCCAGAAGCCTCTGTTAGCTCACGGACTGGGTGCACGCAGCGGCGGGGTGGCGGGCTCCCAGGAAGACCCACTCTGGGTGCAGCCCCTGACCACACTCTGGAATCACTGCCCTGTCCCCCCGAGCACAGCCCGAGCATGGGATCCACAGTCAGGTGCATCCACTGCAGAAACAACTGGAAATTCAGACCCCCAGAGTAGCCCTCTTCTGGGGTTGTCTGGGGGGCAGCAGGTCGGGCTGTGGTCCATTTTACTGCGACTGTGAAAAACCTGCCTTGAGTGGCTGCTCCTCAGAGGACACCACCTGTAGGTTAGGGGACAGGAAGACCACCCACCAAAGCTGAGCATGTGCGTCTCAGATCCCGGGAGACAAGGAGCTGTGAATCTGTAATGAGTGCCTTCGTGCTTGGGGGGAAGTGGGGCCAGGAGCCCGGGGCAAGGGAAGTGGGGTGATGAGGGGTGGGGGGTTGGGGAAGTGGGGGGATGAGAGAGGAGCCTGGGGGAACCCCAGGCTGTCTCATGGAGGAGGAATGGGGCTCCCCTCCTGAGCTCCCAGGGTAAGGGTGGCGGTCTCCTTGGACAAGCTATGTGCTCAGAAAGAGATCCCGGTTCTGCAGAACACAACAGGGCCCTTTCTCCCCGGCTGAACCAATAAAAACTCTGGGGTTCTCTACCTGCCTGAATATCATAAGGTCTTAGTTCCAGAAGATTGTCTGTGGAGTTAAACTATTTCTTCCCAACTTTTTTTACGAGAATGTACAGAATGTTTAGAATAGCTGAACTCCTCGTATTCACGAAGGTACTGCACAAATTCTTGCCCCCACCTCGACTCAACAGTAGTTAACGCGCAGCCATGTTTCTTTTCTATACGGATCATTTCTTTGCACAACCACGTGAGAGTAAGTCTTAGACGTTGTGAATCTCCAGCATCTTCTAAGCATGAGGGTGTCTCACTGACCACAGCACACGCTGTCAGACACCCCAAAACGTGGCAGAGGTTCTCTCGTGTCCTCTGGTGTCCCCTTCATAGCCATGTCTCCCCCTGTTTCCCAGGATGCCACTCAGCTGTCTTTTTCAACCCCGGATCCAGTCAAGGTTGGATTTTGACCCACATCCAGTGAAAGCTTCCTCTTCAGTTGTATAAACCTCCTCAGTGTGGTTTATCAGCCCTAACCTGCTTTTCTCTCTAAAGTTCTTCTTGAAGAGCACAGGCCAGTCTCCTGCAGGGCATCCCGCATCCTGCATCTGTCCGATTGTGTCCTTGTGGTGGCCCTTAACTTGTTCCCCTGTCCCCTTTACTTTCTGTACATGGCAAGTCAGGTGTACGGGCTTGACTCGGTTTAGGTTAGGTATTTTTGGCAAGGGCACACTCCCAAAGGTGGTGCTGGGCTCATTGTCTCCCTTCAGACGCAGGTGAGACTAGGTAGTTCCGTCGGTGTGTCTAACTGCAGGCACTGGGTAATGTCGCGGCTGCCCGCTTTTGTTGTGGTAAGCAAACACGTTTCCCTTGATAATGATCCCGTCAATCTCTCGGGAGAGTGACCTCTGTGAACCTTGGTCTCCACCTTTCGCCGGTGGCTCTACACCCTTCATGCACTGTAGCTCAACCCATCTTTCACATGGTTGTGGGGTGACTTCAGGTCCTCCCGATACTTAGTGGCTGGTACTCTTCTGTGAAGCAGTTTTCCTTATCAGCGGGGCGTAGCTCCAGGGTCTTCCAAAAAAGGCAGGCTAGAAGCTTCGCTGTTTTCCTTCAAGTACTAAGTAAACCCTGATTTCAGAGCAGGGGGTCGGAGGCCATCGAGTTTCTCCCCACACTCTCTCTGAGGGGAGGGAGCATTGCTGCTTTTAAGATTAATGAGTCATTTTTCTTTTCATGTTCAACGTGTCCCACATTTGGTCAGTGGGAGCGCTCGGGTCGGGCTCCTGTGCCTTTGATCGTGCTGGCGCAACCTCATTTTCTGCGCAAGAAGGTGTCCCAAGCTCCCCATCCTCCTCACCCCAGATCTGGGTGGAGCTTGCCATCTCTGAGCCACTTGTCTGTGCTGCTTTTCCCTTCATCCTTCACCCTTCTCCCCATCAGTCCCCTGCTTAATTAAAAAGACAAAACGTGGGGCGCCTGGGTGGCTCAGTTGGTTGAGCAGCCGACTCTTGATTTTGGCTCAGGTCATGATCTCAGGGTCGTGGGATCGGGCCCCGCATTGGGCTCCCTGCTCAGAGGGGAGTCTGCTTGAGATTCTCTCCCTCCCTCTCCCTCTGCCCTTCCCCTTGCTCTGTGCTCTCTCCCTTAAGTAATTAAAAAACATCTCTCTAATTTAAATAATTAATTTTAAAAAGCCAAAACGTAAAGTGCTCTGAGAACAGTGCCCCAGCTCACTGCTCCCCACCAACCGGTTGGGCAGGGCTAGTCACCCGCACTGGGTTCCACTGCTTGCCCCTCCAGGAGCTGGGCACAGCTGACTTCTTTTTTTTGTTTTTGTTTTTAAGATTTTATCCATCTGTCAGAGAGAGAGAGACTGAGAGAGAGCAAGCGAGCACAAGCAGGGGAAACAGCGGGCGGAGGGAGAAGCAGGCTTCCCCCTGAGCAAGGAGCCCGATGCGGGACCCGAGCCCAGAACCCCGGGATCAGGACCCGAGACGAAGGCAGACGCTCAGCCGACTGAGCCACCCAGGCGCACTGGCACAGCTGACTTCTTGACACATGAGTTGAGTCTTTCCTTCAGGATTCTGCGTTACAAGAACTCAGAAAAATCAAATGCACATACCTACATCTGAGAATAAAGCATTTGAAAGGCCACTTAATTGGAAATCAGGGTCCTGGGACCTCAGTCCGGGGTCCTCTTGGTCTGTATGTGTTGGACTCGTCTTGGGGTACAGGGGCGCCTGAGGCCGTGAGGAGGAAGGCCCTGGACCCGCCTGGAGCCCTCCCGGCTGGAGTGGCGGCGCCGCACACCCAGCCACGCACTGAGGCGAGCTGCAGTCTGCCCTCGACAGGACCTGCAGCCGGCTGTGGTCCGTCACGCCTCCCCCACTCAGGGTCCGTTTCTGCAGGCAACCAACACGCTTCCGTCTTTCCCATCTGTCTCAGGTCACGGCATGTTTCCTCCCCTCCACTTTTGCTCTTTCCAGGCTTACTGTTGACTTCCTCATTCTGCAGCTCACCCCACATCCTCGCCAGTACTGTCCTCCCCGGCCGCTCGGCACGATCTTTAGTCTTGATTGTTATCATTATTAAATATGCGTTCATTCGTTCATTCGTTCATTCATTGTATGTCCCCCCGGTACTCGTACCCCTGTTTCCTTAATCTGTCACGGGACACACCCTCTCCCGTAATGGCTGTGGGCCATGCACTCTGGTGAACACTGAAGAGGAGCTGGCGGGTGTGTGCTGCACGGACCGTGGCTTTGCCCCACGGCACGTGCTCTGTACCGTCCGTGTGCTGGGGTTTCCGCACTAGAAGGGCTTGGGCTTCACTGACGTCTGTAAGGATACACATTTTGGTTCAGCCTTGGGTGTGGCTGAATCTTTTTTCCTCCGGTCCCTGGGTGCTTCTGACGATGGGTCAGATTTGGGAGCCCGTGACCCAGACCCGTGAATGGGGGTCCCCTTTGTAGCTTCTCCGGCAGGCGGGGCCCAGCCACTGTGTGACCGTCCGGAGAGGGCAGCCGTGTCCCCGGCTCTGGCTGGGGGCGGGGCTTCCTCACCTGGGGCTGAAGTCAAGCGCACACGGCGGTGCTCGTGAGTCTGCCTCACAGACAGCTGCCACGGGCTGGTCGGGAGACGCAGGTGCCACTGACACAGCTCGTCTTTAACTGTGACTCACCTGGAGAAAGCTGGCCGTCTGGTTATGGCTGCTGGGTCCCCCAGCGCCGTCTGCCCCGCAGCGGAGGAGGGGGACCTATGGAGCCTCCTGGGGCTCCCGAGGAGGGGGGTGGGGCGCCCTGGTACCCTGGCTCTGCTTTCCATCCATGGTGATGTGGCAGGGGCAGGATCAGGACATGAACGCTCTGTTGCCAAAAATTCATCCTCATGTTAATTCATAATCTGTCTCTTTATTTCAGAAAAAAAAGGCTGTTCTGACTGAGGTAAGCGAGGCTTATTTCACCTGTTTCAAATACATATTCTTGCACTAGAGCGAAGTCACGGTGGGATGTCTCGGGCACTTGTTTTCATGAAATCGACCAGACGGGGGTGATACCAGCGTCAGAAGAATATTTGGATAACTTCACACGTTCGGATTCATTCAATTACACAACCGTTTTTTCAACAGTTTTCTCGGTCATCAGTTCGGGTCGGGTAACCCAGCAGGCCCTCGGGACTCAGAAAGCTGCTGAGACAGGTCACTGCAGGTCAGGGTGGCAGGCGTGCATTAGGGCCCTTGGGCAGGCCTGGCCCAGGGACTGGGGAACGTGAGAGGAAGGGCTGCGGGCAGAAGACTGGCGTGCACGGGAGCACGGCTTACCCGGGAGGAGAGCAGGTCTGTGTGAGCCGCAGGACGCGTCGTGACGGGCGCTGGGGACCAACGGAGTCTCTAGCCACCCCGACGGCTGTGCGCACCCATACGGCCCCTTGCTGCTGTCACCCGCCCTCAGCCTGTTCCCCAGGCAGCCTCCAGGGCAGCATGTTTTTAAATGTTAAGTAACACCCAGCACTGCACACGACTCGCTCCCAAACTTGGAACATGATCCAAAGCTGTTGTCTAAAGACCTTCCAGGCCACACTCCCTGGCTACCCCACCCCGCAGCCCTGCTCATTCTCCTCTAGCAGTCTGGAGGCTTTTTCGGCACTGCTTGGAAATACCAAGCTTCCTCCTGCCACAGGGCCCTTGCACTCGCTGCTCCCTCTGCCTGGAAGGCTCTTCCTCCGGTCACCTGCATGTCCTGCCCCCTTGCTTCACGCAGGAAACATTACGTCCTCAGAGACACTCTCTCTGAATACCCCGTGCCAGCCATCACTCCAGCCCCAGGTCCTGCTTTATCTCTCTTTGTAGCTTACATCCCTACTTGACATTTTGATACTTCGCTTGTCTTAAATTGCTTGTTTCCTATTGCAATTTATTTAACATTCCACAGAGGCAGGGACCACCTCTGTTCTTACACCACTATATCCACAGTTCCTAGGATGGTGCCTGCCACATGGTCGGCATTCAGCAAATATCTGTGGAAGGAGTGGGTGAACGGGTGAATTTGGGACTCCTCGAAAGCCCGTCTAGCGTGTTCCCCAGCCGGCCAGCCAGCATGCACTGTCGTGTTCTGCTGCTGGTCTCCCGGGTCCCCCCTGGGCCTGCGTGTCCTCACCTCCCCAGGCAAGGTGATGACAAGAGCCCCCAGGCTGCAGCTGGGCTGGGTTTCTGCCGGGCTCTGGTGGCTATGATGTCAGCAGCTGTCACCCCAGCCCATGTCGCCCGTAACGAGCCCTCGCCTGGGTCGTCTGCGAGCAGCGAGCCCCCCCGGGTCGGTCTACACATGCACCTGCTTGTTCGAATTTGCCTGAACGAGGGTTCTCTTGCCGTGCTTTGTTGGGCCTCTTTCTGAACCCCAAGTTCAGGACATCTCCTTCACCTTGCCTCCAGTAACAGCAAAGCAAAGGTGTTTCTCTTAGTGACCTGATTCTGGAGGCGTCTGGACCTCTGGACACATGACGTGTCAGGCCCCAGTGTGCTCGTGTGGCGCTCCCTAAGATGCTCAGAACTAAGAGCTCCCTAAGAGCTCAACCCCTTTGTCACGCTGTGACGTTTCCAGCCGGGCTGCCCCTGAAATCCAGAACACTGATCTCAGAACTTAACAAAGCATCTGTGTGTGTGAAGAAATCACTTAAGATTAAGGTCAGAGGATAGATCATTTCTTGGCGACAGTTTGAGACCATGTCTGCCCTGCTTGGTTTTGGAAGATGTGTATGGAAAGCACGAGGCATGGGACGGACTGCCCAATGTGGAAACATAATTGCGTGTGTAAATTATGGACAAATACTAGCCGCTAAACATCATAGCGTTTAAGAGAGGATTCGGTTTGCCGTGGGAGGGGACGCCTGTGCCTCCGTCTGTGTGGACGGTGGGCGTGCCTCCTGCGGGAGGCGCTGGGCGGGTGGCAGAGGCCATGGCTCTGCACCAGCGAGAGACGTCGTTTTCTCTGCTGGTGGAGCTCTGCCCTCCGGAGCCCCCTCCCCCACACCTGCCGCCTTCCAGGGGAATTCACCTCCCTTTCCCTCTCTCCTCGTGCCTGCCAGGCGGCTACGGTACTCCAGGCAGCTTTCAGGGGACACCTAACACGGGTGAAGCTACTGTCGAGCCAGGCGTGTGCCTCAGAAGCCCCCGGCTCGCCCAGCCCGCCCGGCCAGGTAACCCTGGGGCGCCAGACGCGGCGGGGGCGCAAACTGCCCTCTCTACGTGTCCCGTCTCGTGCCTCCTCAACTGGGGCAGCGTGGCATCTCGGTGCCCGTGTCCTGCCTGGCACTTTACTGTCCGGGAGGGGGCGGGGGGGGCCGGCGGGGCCAGGCGGCAGAGCCGTGGTGCAGGCGCCAGATGGGTTTAACTTCAGGGGCCATGTTGCTTTGAGGTGCTCACGTATTAGGCAGCGTGCCCGCCCCACAATTAAGACAGAAGCTTAAAAACCCAGTAAAGATTAGCGTTTTCTATATCCATCCCTCCTCTGCGAAAATGACAAGACGTTCATTTTAAGAATCTCTAGAGTCTGAGCGTCAGGAGGCTGCTGAGCACATAGTCAGTGACCAGGTGAGCCACCCGGAACGGGGCCATGCTCACCGGGCTCTCTGGGGGCCAGGCGGGGGCTCTGCCACACCCGGGAAGTGGGCAGAGGCTCCCAAATGGCTCTCTTCCCCACTGTCGTGTCCCTGCAGGACCCGCCACCACGCATTCCGAGCCCTGCCGTCCAGGCTGAGGACGACCCAGGGCAGGAGGCCATCACCACCGTGCAGTCTGTCCTCCGGGCGCACCTGGCACGGGTCAGGCACAGGTAAATCCAGCTGGCAGGCTCCCCCTGTTCTGTGTCGCTGGGAGACTCCAACCACAGACATGGTGCAGGAAGCTGCCGGACGACAAGGCCAGCCCATAGTGCGCAGGCGCAGGCCGTGGGAGCCAGGACCTTGGCAAGTCGCCCGAGCACAAACACCTGTGCAGAGTTCCTCCCACGCGTGCAGGTGGGGTAGCCTGCCAGTGCTGGCCCTCAGTAGGGGCCTTCCTGCCTGGAACGGCTCGCTCGTGCTGGGGGAAGACCCGCAGAAGGGCTTAAGCACCACATGGTTCTGGTCCCCACCAGTCTGTAGGCTGGCTCCCCTGTCCTAATGCATCGCCCTTTAAAAAAAATGTGATGCGACCCCAGTGTTCAGGGGGACGTGGGTGTTGTCAGGTGCTTGGCACAGCAGCTCACACTCGTTCTCCCCTGCTGGGGCTGCGGCCGCAGAAACTCAGACCCCATCCAGGTTGACTCGGGCAGAGTGGGATCTGCAGCCTGCAGCAAGGCGAAGGGAGTGTCTGTCGGGGTGCGAGGGCAGGAAGCTCAGGCTTCCCCTCTGTTTCCCAGTCCACCCGTCACTTTTCAGTCTCTGCTCCCTCTCTGCCAGAGGAGAGGGTGGATGCGGAGAGGGCGTGCAGGTGTGTGGGAGGACGTGCAGGTGTGCAGGGAGGACGTGCAGGTGTGCAGGGAGGACGTGCAGGTGTGTGGGAGGACATGCAGGTGTGCAGGGAGGACGTGCAGGTATGCAGAGCCCACAGGAGCCAGAATCTTCTGGTCCTGGTTCTGGACGGGCTGGGACGGCCGGGGTGCAACGCAGGTCAGGGTCCTTCCCGGTGCCGCCAGCCACGGCCAGTGGCCGTGTCCACGGGGATGGCAGCAGGTACAAGAGACTGGGGGAGAGGGCGCCTGGGTGGCTCAGTTGTTAAGCGTCTGCCTTCGGCTCAGGTCAGGATCCCAGGGTCCTGGGATTGAGCCCCGCATCGGGCTCCCTGCTCAGCGGGGAGTCTACTTCTCCCTCTCCCACTCCCCCTGCTTGTGTTCCCTCTCTCGCTGTGTCTCTCTGTCAAATAAATAAATAAAATCTTTGAAAAAGAGAGAGGGAGAGAGAGAGAGAGACTGGGGGAGAGGAAGGTGTCTGAGGTCTGACCTCGGCGTGTGCCCCTTGCAGCCCACCTGTGCCGGCTCTGCTGGCCTCCAGCACATCCGTGAGCCCCGCCGGGGCCTCGGGCGATGGGGGCGTCCTATAAAGTCCAAGCAGCCGGTCTCTCTCTCTTTTCCAGTGCCTCTGGTCAGAGAACCACCACTGCAGCTTCTAGGAGGAGGAGACCCACTCTGGCCACCCCCTGCCAGTCACCTGCTGTGCCCTGCCCTGCTTCTCCTGGTACTTTCATTTCATTTTGAATTTCCATGCAAGGGGCAGCTGGGGCCCTCTGAGCTCCGAGCAAAGAGCGGCCGCTGCCCCGGAAGCTTGGGGTGTGCGGGCACGTGTGGGGGCCCATCCCAGTGCGACCCCCTGCATGCCTCCCCCGAGCCTCCCACGCACGGCTTCGTCCCACATCCCCGGGCCACGGAGAAGCTCCAGTGCTGGTCACAGCAGCGTCCAGGCACCTGCAGGCCACTCGGTTGGCGCCTCGTGGCTTGTGTGTCTCCGGTTTTTATTCTTGGCTCTGCTGGAGCTGCGTGGTTTCCCCCCCTTGGGCCAGTGCTTTTCCTGTTTGTTGGTTTTAAGTAAACTTTTGCTTGTATTTGCTTTTCTACCTTATTATGGTCCAAAAACAGTGCAGAGATCTCGGGACCCGGTAGGGGTGCTGCACCTCAGCTGTGAGGCCCGGTCCCTGCTCTGCCTGCCAGCAGACATGGGGTCCTCGCAAGTGAGGTGGAGCCCCCCGCGAGTCCAACGGCCCCTCACACAGGTTGGGAATCTCCCTGTGTGGTGCTCGCTCACACTATCAGTAACACTGCTGGAGAGGAGCAGGGAGGTGGTGTTGTGAGCTTTGACGCTGTCGTTGGACCCAGAAACACATCTTGAGGTCTCATCTGTGAGGGTGGCACGTGGTCACCATGCAGCACTCGTGGGAAGGACTTTTCCATCCCGAGCTCTTTGGTCGCACAGATGGAGAAGGGCAGGTGCTGGTGGGGAGCAGTGCCTCATTTCAGGACAAACTACAAAAGGAAGCAGTTTTCTGAGCCAAAGCCCTTTGGGGTAGAGACCCAGGTGGAGGTGATGGAGCCCTGTCCATGTCTGCTGCTGGCTCTGTGCACGGTGGGCGCCTGGAGCGTATGTGTTGTTTCAGGTCAGGAGGACAGCGACACGAGCAGCGGGGAGACTGTGGAGGGGCTGGCGGCCAAGGACAAGGCGCCGGGGCTGTGGGGACCGGGGAAGCCAGCAGCCCTGCAGCCCGGCTCTGGTGAGTGAGGGAGGCCGTGGCTGGGCATGGGGGGCCTGGCCACCCCGTCCCTTCTGGGGCCGGGTCCTGGAGGATCTCCTGCACCAGCTGAGGGTTCGACACCATGTCTGACCTGGAGATCACCACTCACTTTCCAGCCTGTCGGAGCTTGCAAACAGTGAACTTTGGTATTTGTTCCATAAACTCCATGTACAAAGTTCAAGGAGCAAACGTGAGCAACACCGGGGCGGGGGGGTGGGGTGGGGAGGGAGGATGTGCAGGTGAGCAGGGAGGACGTGCAGGTGTGCGGGGAGGATGTGCAGGTGGGCAGGGGAGGACGCGCAGGTGTGCGGGGAGGACGTGCAGGTGTGCGGGGAGGACGTGCAGGTGTGGGGGAGGATGTGCAGGTGGGCAGGGGAGGACGTGCAGGTGGGCAGGGGAGGACGTGCAGGTGTGCGAGGAGGACGTGCAGGTGTGCAGAGA